GTCAGACTGCTGGGTCAGAGCCAGGGCTCAAGTGTGCTCATGGCCCCTGGACTAGAAGTAGAGGTCCAGCCTTAGAGGCCATGTAGTGCAGCTCTCAGATTGCCCTTGCACTGCCACAGCAGCCTGCCCCAGTAGGCTCAGAGGTGGGCACTTCTTGTGAGGTGATGGGGCTCTGCGTGGGTTTTATCACAAAGAGAGGGTGTTGGCAGCAGCCTGTCCTGGCTCAGGGCTGGCTCGTACCTGGCACAAGAGGGCATGCATAGCTGCTTTGTCAGCTTTGGCCCAGAGCTTTCCATGTCATCTCTTGGGAAATAAAGGTATGGGACTATCACTTGGGGCTGCCATTTAAAGAAATTATTTTCCTGTACCCTTCTATGTTTAATAAACTTTGAGTCGTGGCTGTCGGAAGCTGGGATCTGTAGCTGTTATGTTTGCATAAAGAAAGTAGAAGACTTCCTGAAGCACGGTGGGTTGCTGTTGAGCTGCATCCCAAGAAAGTAGTCCAGTATCCAGCTGCACTGGAGGACAGAGCACTGATGTTTCTGACTGCAGACTGTATTGTTCACATAGCAGATCCTGCATGGAAATGTGCATTCAGGTATGAGGAAAATGCATGAGTGGGAGGAGGCAGTGTGAGCAGAGCAGGATGCAGTGCCTGTGCAGTCTCTGCTCCATTGGGACATCAGTTGACTTTTAGGGCTGGCTTCGTGCCCTGATGGGACAGCTGAGGCTGCCTGGGTGGCAGCTGCCACCAGGTGTGTGCATGGGATTCAGGTGGGCGTGGGAAACTGAAGAAGAGGTTTCCAGCTTTCCTGGTGGGTGTGCTTCTGTGGAGGTGGTGATAGGGTTGGTGGAGTGGGTGCTGCAACCCTTTCTTAGCAAACTTGAGTCACCTTGCATGTGGGAAAGTATATCCTGTGAGCTGACTTCTTTCCCTCAGAGAATATTTGCTAGACTTCACTAAATACAGAGGCTTTGTATATTGCATTGTCTGTTTTGAGTATAGTCGGTACTTGTAAAAAACCAGGAATGAGTAGCTTAGTGTGCAGAAATAATTTAATATTCTTCTGTTGACTCTTTGAACTGACAGCAAAACATGGTGCTCTGATGGCCATCAAAATGGAAAAGTCATTCTCCTAAGAAAGCAGAGCTATATTATTTCTACATCACAGCAGGTGCATTGCGTAGGGCTGGAACATACCATGACCTGTTGAAATGAATGACTGAAAGCAGGAAGTCATTCTGCTTGTTTTCATGCATGTGAAGTGAGGGGATGGAAGCAAAGAAAGAGCACTGTATCCTCTCAATATTCTTGTTGCATTGTATTAGATGAGGTATCTTTCTGCTTTTTCAGTAGATCCAAATCTTTTTTAACTTCTGGACCTAAGGCAACAAATTAATTGAAATATGGCTATAATAGTCTCAGTTTTGGTGTTATATATGTGTGTGCTGTTCTAATTATATATAGTTATAATTATTTGTATAATTGTAAAGGCTTTCCTTCTGTAGGGCCTTTGGTGTCTCCTACAACATCATTTGTCAGTAAATTGGAGATAGGGGTTTGATGAATGGACTGTTAAATAAATGAGGAATTGCCTAGGCAACTGCATCTGAAGATTTGCAGTCAAGTGCTCAATGTCCAAATGGAGATCAGAAATAAGTGCTGTCCGTCAGGGTTCCATAATGTAATCTGAAGAGTTCAATATCACCAATGATGTGCAGTAGGTTTGAGTATGCCCTCGCAGGTTTGCAGATGACACCACACTGAGCAAGTGCAGTTGATTTGCAAGTGGGAATGGAGGTCACCCAGAAAGACTTGAGCCTAGAGAAGTGAATCTTGTGAAGTTTGGCAAGGCCAGGTGCGTGGTCCTGGCCTTCACCTGCATCATGGCCCTCCCCAGTATCTGTACAGACTGGGAGATTAATACATTAGGAGCAACCCTGTGGAGAAGGACTTGGTGGATGAAAAACTGGACGTGAGAAAGCAATATGTGCTAAGTGATTCTCCCCCTCTGCTCTGGAGAGGCCCACACTTCAATGAATAAGAAGTTTGTGGTTGTTTTTTTTGGTGTGTTTTTTTTTTTCTTTTTTTTTTTTTTTTTTTGTGGTTTAATTTTTTTAGTTTTTTGCTTTTACTGTGAGTGTTTGACTGTTACTGCATCCAGAGACAACTGCTGCTGTATCCAGAGACCTCTGTTAGCTCCTGCTGCTTGCTTTTCAGGTCATATGAACAATTTATTTGTGCCCTTAGCAACCTATTTTTGCTGTCTTCAGTATGGTGATCCAAACCAAATGTAAACTAAATTTTACTGGCATCTGGGGTTGATTGCTCTGTGACTGATCTCCTCCTGTATTACACCATAAACTGTAGAAGAGGCTTCTCTGCATCTCCATTTCTGTGATCCTGTTCTCTGGCTCATAAAATCACAGAATGGTTAAGGTTGGAAGGGACCACTAGAGATCATCTAGTCTGGCCTCCCTGCTCAGGCAGGGAGCCCTGGAGTGTGTTAATCAGGATTGCATCCAGATGTTTTTTTGAATATCTCCAGTGGGAGAAATTCCACAACCTTTCTGGTTAATCTGTTCTGTTGTGCAGTCACCTGCACAAGGAAGGTATTCCTTATGTTCAGGTGAAACTTCTGTCAGTTTCTGCCTGTTGCCTCTTGTCCTGTTGCTCCACTGAGAAGAGCTTGGCTCCATCCTCTTGGGACATTCCCTTCAGGTACCTACAGACACTGATCATATCTCAGTTGCCTCTTTTGGAGGCTGAACAGGCCCAGCTCCCTAAGACTTTCTGTGTAAGAGGTGCTCCAGCCTCTTTCAACTTTGTTGCCCTTCGCTGGAGCTACTCCAGGAGCTCCACATCTCTCTGGTATTGAGGAGCCAAGAACTGGACACAGCACTTGTAAGTCTCACACATGCTTAGTGAGATGTGGCCTCATTAGAGACTAGTAGAGAGACAGGATCACCTCCCTTGACCTCCTGGCAGTGTTCTTCCCAATGTCCGCAGGATACCATTGGCCTCCTTAGCAACGTGGGCACACTACTGGCTCATGGACGTCTTGTTGTCCACCAGGACTCCCAGGTCCTTCTCCACAGAGCTGCATCCCAGCAGATCAGCCCAAGCCTGTACCAGTTCATGAGATTATTCCTCCCTAGGTTCAGGACCCCACATTTGCCATTGTTGAATTTCACACAGCTCCCCTCTGCTCATCTCTCCAGCCTGTCGAGGTCCCTCTGAGTGGCTGCATGGCTCTCTCGGGTATTGGCTACTCCTCCCAGCTTTGTGTCATCTATGAACTTGCTGAGGAGGCATCTGTCCCTCCATCCAAGTCATTGATGAAGAAGTTAAACAATACTGGACCCGCTATTGAACCTTTGGGGACATCACTAGTGACAGGCCTCCAATTAGACCCTGTGCCAATTATAGTGACCTTCTGGGAGTTGCCATTCAGCTGGTTCTCAATCCACCTCACCTTTCACTTGTCCAGTTCACACACCTGAGATTGCCTGTGTGGGATATGATGGGAGACAGTATCAATAGATTTGTTGAAGTCCAGATAGACAACAGCCATTGGTCTCTCCTCGTCTCTCCAGCCAGTTGTCCTGTGGTAGGCTCCAGCATGCTTTAAAAGTTTGGTTAAGTTGCTATGCAGCTGTGAAGCATTTGAATCATCTGTGAAAAGTATGTGCTCTGAGAGAAAGGTCATACTTAATGTTTAGCTGGTTGAAATTGTTATGTTTAGTTACGTTTTTGTAAAGGAAACGAAATATTTCTTTGTGGCTGTTCAACTCTGACCTTTTTTTTTTGTGTTGGTAGTTTTTGTAGTATCAAATCTAACTAAATGGGGCGCCTAAAAACCTATATAAATTTTGGGGAAAACCAGACACTTGCCAAAAAACAGGGTTCATTGAGCTGTTCAGTTCTCTTTTTCTCATTTGTTAGCCAGTATTTGGCAATTACCAGCAACTGTAGAGCAGGAGGAGATAAGTGAAGACAGGAGAGATATATGCCAGCTAATTTATGTCATGTAAGGTGGGTCTTTGATGGCCTTCTTTCTGAAGAGCAATGTTAAAATGTCAAAGTGACAGGAAAAGGCAGTATTGGAGCTTTTTGTGGTACTTAGAAAATATTTTTCTTCTCCTCAAATTGGCACTTGAAAGGGACACTGAAAGCAGTATTTTAATTGATTTCTTGGCAGCCAGCAAGTGAATATTACGAGGCAAATGCACTTAGTTGCTGGCTGGCTGTGTCTTCTCCCCCTGCCCTGTAGAACTTTCCCACAGTAACTTTGTTATGGTCCAAGAAGAAATAAGATAAAGAGGAAGCATGGAAAAGGTTAACATGATTCCACTCTCATCTGCCACAATTTTTGTACTGAGTCCCTTCACTCCCAAAGAAAGCAAAAATTAGAAATTTATGATTTAGAGTAGCTCTGGGTTTCACATTATGCTTTTCCATGGTAGAGAAAGTGATTAATTTGTTTCAATAAATGTTATACCTTTTGATCTACTGGTCTTTGTAGAACAGTGGCATCTTCTTACACAGAGTTCAATTCCAAGTAATTTTTTGTCCTATTTTTTTTTTTTAAATCTGAGAGAACTTGTCCCAATAGCTTTCTGAAAAGCCTCAGTTTCTTCTTCCTTTAGATGCAGCCAAACCAAAGCATTCCTTCTCAAATGACTCCTCAAGCTTGCCAAGTTTTCTTTCTTTGCCATCTTTGCATGTTCATGCATCCACCCTAATCTGAGCCAGGATGCACTGATTTGGTTCCTTAGTACAAGGCTGCTGATGCACAGAACCACAGTGGTAGGGAGGAAGGAAAATAACACTTAATAAGGGAAGGGTTCCTTCTTGATTGCTGTAGCAGTCCCCTAGCTTTCATTTACTACTTTTAGTGCCAGTTAAGAATTAATTGAAAGATACAAAGGAAAAAGTATCTATTTTCAGGGAAGTTCTGCTAAAACATTGTTTTTATTGTACCTCTTTTCTTCTGCAGAGTGGAAAGGCCCCAGTGAAAGACATGTTCACAGATCTTAAAGATGGAAGGAAGCTTTTGGACCTTTTGGAGGGTCTGACGGGGAAACCTCTGGTAAGAGAAACATCTGAGTCATATTTCCATGTATTAAAAAAACTCAACCCAATGAATAAACAAAACACAAACTGAAGCATGAGATTAAAAAAAATTAATTTATTTAAAACCTTAATTTGGTTGTAATGTGTACTTGTTCTCTACAGTTGCAGTGAAATTCCCATGAACTCCACTCATGAGATACAGGGTCAGGCTGAAGCTTAACTGTGTAACCCTCTCTTGAGGGTTTACATACTGTCTAGCAGAGCATGTAAAATCAGTGGTGTTGTTCACATAGTGTATGTGAACAACATGTTTTTAGTAGAAATCTTTTAAAGGTCTGTTTCTGGATGATGAGGTATACCTGTGTTCAGCTGGATCCCTGTGGGCTTGTAGTAAGCTTGTGAAAGATCCCTTAAAGAACAAAAAGAAAGTTAAAAAGGCAACAGCTAGTAGGTAAAAATGTGCAGCTCCATGGAAAAATTTTGTCATCTACAGACAGGAAAAGGCTGAAAACTGCTCAAAATGTGTATGGTAAAGTGCACGTGGCTGAAAACTCTTCCCCTGCTAACATTATTGACTCTTCAGAAAGAAGCACAAAATATGGTGAAACTTGTGCAATTACTCAGGATTAAATTGTTGATTTCACTATTTATACTGAGTCTTAAATTTGTTTATGGACCTTACGGAACCTTCAGTCATACAAAATTTCACATTGTAAGTTTACTTTTCTTTTAAGCAGATGTGTTTTACTACTACTTCAAATAATTTGTGGTGTGAAGTATGATGGAAACAACACAAGTTTTTTTGTTTCTAATTTGATTACTATGTTCCAAGTTCAACTGAACAGCAGTATGATCACTTTCTGCCACAGGAATTAAATTATAGTGATTAAAAGCAAATGGAGTGGCAGGTATTGTCAAGAGTTGAAGGTTTGGGTTTTTTTGGGTTTTTTTTTGGTTTTTCCTGGTTGTGGAGCTTTTTTTTTAATTCCCCCTGATATTAAAAGGAAGGGAAAGCCAGGAAGCATAACTTCTTCCCAGTATGCAAAGGTTTAGCAGGCTTTTGGTGCCAGAAAAACAAATTGCTTCTTGTTCTCTCTTGGGAGCCAGAAAATTTCAAGTACTCTGGCAAATGTTCAAAAGCCTCAGATTTTCCCCAGGAACTCTTCCTTTACTTTTGCATTGCAGGTTTATAATTCTGTAGATGCTGGGAATAAAAATTTTGCACTTAATAATGATGAGCTGAAATACATTTTGAATCCAAGGCCTGTCCTGTGCCTTGAATTGGGGAATATTGTTCTGACCAGTTTTCATTTTGAAATTGCTATGGATGATCTTGTTTGGTTTTTCTTACTATTACTAAAAGAAAAGTTAAAATCTGGAGATTTCTTCTCCAATTTTGTTTGGTATGTCCATTAATTCTGATGTTGAACAGATTGTAACTTTTTATTTTCAGCCTAAAGAACGAGGTTCCACACGAGTACATGCCTTAAATAACGTCAACCGAGTACTGCAAGTCTTGCATCAGAACAATGTGAGCATGTTTTTCCACAGCTTTTTGGGAGATTCCTTAGTTTGTTGTTGTATGTAAATGAGTTCAGAATGCAGAGAGTAAAGAGTTTTTGTATCTAAAATGAGACCTCATGGAGATGGATAAACTGTTCATAGTTTCTTATATAATGTAGAATTTCAGTGTCCTGCAATTTTGTGAGATCTTAAAATGCAAACTTAATAATGGTATTAAACGAGTAATCACAAAACTGTGGTTTGTTGAGATGTATGCAGCTCCCAAGAAAAAGGTACCTTGAAGCTTTGCTGTTGCATAGCTGATGAACACAGCAGGACAAAAAAATAATTTCAAATAATGCTGTATAACTTGTGCAGGTATCTGTAAGGGAATGTCAGGTTTTGTGGCTCTATCCTGCTCTCCATTCCCAGGAGGGTCTTTTGATTGATTTCTGTCGTCTCTGTGCCAAACATATAGTGTTTCTAATTTGCTGCATGACTGGTTAGAAGAATAAACAAGCAAACAAAATCAAATCCTCCTTTAAGAAAAATAAAAATAATAATTATTTGGCTTAATATTTGTTTTTAATGCCTGGAGGACTGTAGTGCTATATTAAAGTGGTTTTAGGTTTTTTTCCTTTTTTGACGAACAATTCTGGGTAAGCGTGCTGTCTATACTTAGAATTTCTATTTGTGAATGTCAGGCCACTGAAATAACATAATAAGAACATTTTGGCAATAAAAGACGTAAAATACAAGAAAGCATGGGCATATTTGTATAAACTGATGATTGAAGAGTGATACAACATGCTGTATTATACTGCAATTTCCCCTCTGTGTTGGTGGACTAGTGTCATATTTCTTGGAAGCAGACAAAGCTGGCAGTGGGTTCTTTTTGTTCTTTGAGGTACTGTAAATATTGATTAACTTTTTAAAGGCTAAATAATGAGTTTTTCAGCTTGAAATTGATTTATTTTATTATGACAATAAATGAAACAATACTGAATTGCAATAATTAATTATTTCTTCCTGAAGCTGGCAGCATCTGGGTTTCTGGAAGTAAACAGATGGTCTTAGTTAGCTGAAGGTTGTTAGGGTCATGTAGTTGATTTATGCCTACTGCTTAGCTTCATTAAAAAGTGTGTTGTGTGTTACGATGGAGGGAAAAGGCATCCACTAAGAAGCAGTTGCACTCTGTTGTTTGAGAGTTTGTGGGCTATGCAATATTCATAACTTGTGAAATAATTTATAAAAGTGTTTAAATATATATTGCAAGGATCAGACAAACCTCAGGTGTAGGTGATCAAGTAATCCTGTGAACTTCATCCTTTAAGCAGAATGGTTCCAAGTAAGGAAAGTCAACTTTTTTGATTTGCAAATCAAATTAAAATATAAAAATAACTGAAGACCAAACTTGCTTAACTTTTATTTTCCTATCAGGTCCCTTATGCTTGAATTTGTTTTTCAGTTTTGGCTGCTAGTATGCACCTGTATATTTAGAGGAGAGAATAAAACTCTTCCTGTGGAAAATCTTCTTTGGTGCCATCTTTTGTCATGCAGTTTAAGCAGTTAATGTTAAGTTTGTTTAAGCAGTTGTCATGATAGATTCAGATGAACAATTTTCTGTCAACTCTGCTTTTCTCTTCAACTACTTTTTATTTCAGAGCACTTGGTAATACTTGGCTGGACAGCCAGGGATGTGGGGTGGGGTTGTTACTTGGAGCTGTGATAACAGTGTTTAATAGAGAGTTGATTCAACCTCTCCAGGTGGAGTTGGTGAATATTGGAGGAACTGACATCGTTGATGGAAATCACAAGCTGACGCTGGGGCTGCTGTGGAGCATTATCTTGCACTGGCAGGTGAGAGGCTACTGTGAGATCTCTTCCTTTCCAGGAATCATGTACATTGTTCTGTTATGAGTTTCTCAACCTTCCCAGGCTTTTGGTGGCAGAAAATACTGCTTCTATTTTGGGCTGATAAATAAAGTCAGGCCAGTATTTGGTTTCTGCTTGAAGTCTATTGGCTGCCTCCCATGATCCGTATTCTCGTATGTGCCCAGTTGTGCTCAGCCGCTCAGTTTAGTTCCTGCCGGTGTGAATTGCAGAGAAGCTTTTCAGGCTGAAGCATTGTATTTCTATTCCTTCCTCAAGGGCTTGAGGCAGGTAGTGTTTTACTGTTTAGGTAGCTGTGTTTGTCCTGCATCTTACAGCTGCTTTGTAGGTTTGTTAGTCTCATTGGTTGAATTGCTCCTGGTTTATTAAGTATCTGGGAAGATCATTGAATTAAGTTGGAGGGACTTTGGTAGATGTGTATAACTAGCATCCAAAAAACAAACTACTTTTGTAGGATAAGCAGATATCCTCTTCTTGCAGAAAACCTATACAAGCTGTATTTTTGGAGTTTGTCTACTGGTGGAACCACAGCACAAGGCAGTGAGGAGTATTATTCCCTATGCTTAGAACAGGCAGCAACAAGTAGAGTGAGAGGATCATAATGTAAGAGTAATGTGTCATTACATGAAGCATCACTGGCTTTTGTAAGTAGTAGAGGGCAAAGATGGTCTGAAGGGTGCTATTCCCAAATTTCATGTGAGGAATTGGAATTTGATTCATAGCTTTTCATGGGGAAGCCCCTTCCATGATTTGTGAAGTAGTTTGATTTTGTAAGGAGAAAAAGTGGGACATGTGTTTGTAAGGTGTAGTTATTGCTGTCTTGCAGGTGAAGGATGTCATGAAGAACATCATGTCAGATTTGCAGCAGACCAATAGTGAGAAGATACTGCTGAGCTGGGTTCGCCAGTCCACCAGACCTTACAGTCAGGTCAATGTTTTGAACTTCACGACGAGCTGGGCTGATGGACTCGCCTTTAATGCTGTGATTCACAGACATAAGTAAGTGGCAAACAGCTTGTCTTTGACCTAGTGAAGTAAACAGCTTTTTTTCTGTGTCTTCGTGCTTGAAAATTTGACAGCTTCTGGCCTATTTCAGTGATTCATTTTCCAGGATTGTTTGTTTGTCTTTTTTTGTAACAATAGCAGTGGTGGGACATTGCCAGCACATTGCAAAGGCTGTAGCCCAGGCAGGAGTGTAACACTGAGTTCCTGCACATGCACAAACATTTGCTAGTTGGAGTGGGTTTACATCCCACTTGGTATACATTTTACAGTGAATATATTGAAAGGGTCTCTGTGGGGGAAGGAGGAGTTTGCCATCACCTTCACCTGAATTTCTCTCCTACCTGCCCTCCTTTGCAAAAAGAAACATTTCTTCCATTGGAGATTGCCATATAATTTCAATAAGAAGATACAGAAGCTTCAGAATGAAGAAATGAGAGGCTCTGTAGCTTTTCTGGTATTTTTTACTATATTGTGCTTGAAAGACAATGTATGCAGTTCTTTCAGAAGAACTGTGGGGCAGAATATCAAACACTTTTGGTATCTTTAGAATATCCTTTAGTTTGTTCATTATACTTTATAAGGAATAAAGTTTCTTTGCACAGATCTTTTGTGTTCTTTCTGATTTTTGCAAGACTCTTCAGAAGTTTAAATAAATCATCATTACAGGTTTTATTAAAGTTGCATACTTTTTTTTTTACTTCCTTTTTAAAAATCATTGAGATCTGCTGGGCAATCAATTCTAATCCTGTGTCTCTTAAATGAAGTCAGCTCATTGCTTTGCAAGGTCTGACTGTTCTTACTCATAAATAACCATTTTAATGTGGAAATGATGTAATAATTTCTAGAATTTAACCAAACCTCCTGGTCACCAGGTATTTGACACAGCAAATGCTTTACAAACACCCAGCAGATGCGAAGTGTTTGCAGAACATACATCCACTTTGAGCCTGCTTTGAAGTGCCCATTTGGCCTGTGGTAACTGCAGCGGGCTCTGTCCCAGGCTCGCTGGCTTCAGGACAGGTCTGCCCTGACATAGCTCTGTGTCTTGTGGACCAGAGCTGGCTTGTGTTCAGCCTGCAAGGCTGTGTAAGGAGGGCCAGTACCATGCTGAGGGCTTCTGCAAGTTTGGAAGGACTGCAACGCAAGGACAGAGAAATACTGCCAAACCTCTCGCTGGAATTTATCACAAGTATTACGAAGTCCCTCCCCTGGATGAATTTGAGCAGTTGTGGTGATTTTCCTACCAGCAAAACTGCCTGTAGTGGCCTTGCTCTGCTGCTGAATGTGTGAGGCTTTGTGATGGAGAGTGTGCCAGCTTTAGACACAAATGAAACCTAGGTGACCTGCGAGAAGCAGAAGAATTAGTTTTAGGCTGTTTGCTGTCCTTTTGTTTTTACTATGTGCTTAGGCTTTGCAAGATCTGAAGTCTCTGCTCTTTTCAGAGCACTTGTTAAGCACCAAAAGCCTCAGCTGAAAGCTTTTGACTCAGTAACTGTGCTTTCCTGTGACTTCCTAAAATCTAGGTCTGAGCCTTTTATTCCATATTCCTTGGAGCCTGACAGCTGCTGGCATGTCAGAATTCAGCTTTGTTGTCCCTGAGCACAAGTCCTTTAGTCAGAGAAGCACCATTTTCCCCATACTTTTAAGAAATCTTGAGCTGGGTTTCTCTTTTCAGCTTTGAAGGAGAGACTTTAAAAGCACTTGCAAGGAACAAGGAGATTGGGGCAGGTTGCAGAAGCGATAGGACAGCAAGGCTATTTCACTTACCCAGACAGTAGTGCTTCCCTGCCTAAGGGACATTTTTCAATACTGCTTTTATATTTTAGTTTAATATGACACTTAAAAGAGGAGAATCTAAATGGATTTCATTAAGAGATTTAATATCTTTCTTTTCTCATTATGTATCTATCAACAATTATAAGTTGTACTACCTCTTGGCTAAAATATCTAATAACTTTGTAACACTTGCAGCATGTAAATAACCTATTACCTCATATAATTTCATTGGCGTTTTACTGTACTGGTCTCTTTTTTTTACTAATATTAGCTTAGCTCCTCTTTGAATTGAATTCTGCTTTTTGGTTCGCTTTTCTCACTCTTAGATAAGTACCTAGTTGTGATTTATTAAAACCTTTGTTTTCAAAGTCAGTATCTACTAAAGATTTACATGAATCTGTGGTTCTCCTTGCTACTTTTGCATACTGTACATACTCCTTGCTTTTTTTGCATGCTGTACATGCATGGATGTACAGTATTCCATGAGCTATGTGCATCTTTGTTCCTGCTCACCCTGCTTTCTTCTGGCTTTTTGCTTTTTAGACTGTGTTGGCTTAGGGACTTCCTGTTTCACAAACTTAATGACTTAACAGATGATAAAGGGTACTCTTAAGTCAATTTACAACCAAATGAAATATTAAAAGAATTAAAGGCAAACCCATCTCTTCCTCCCCAAGTTCTATAAAGTACAGAATCAATAGCAGTGTTTTGATGAGAAGCCACTGTTGCAGGAGAAATGGACGGTGCTTTAATGGCTCTGCAGCTATGCTGCTGCAGCACTTGGCTGATCATGCCCCACAGGTGTAGATACTGCTGGGAATGGGCCCTGTTTGCTCCCTCTGCTTCCTGTTGTGTGCTCTGCTCTTTCCCCTTGAGACCCGCCAGCGTGTTTTGGGTGCACAGCTGGACTGGAGATGCCCTTGGGTTAACACTGATCTTAGATGAAGGCTGCTGACAGTGCCAATTGATCAGCTTCTTGGCCTGATTTGCACTGGGCCTCTTGAGCACTTGTGATGGGATGTTTTCTTGTAGGCTGTTTTTTGTTATTGGGGCAAAAAGACTACGGAGAAGAGTGAGTGAGTGGGGTGGAGACTGATATTTCTTCTGGCTGTTATGGCCTGGAATGGTCACTGAGCCACATCACAAGTTTGGAATGAGGTTTCCCAGGAACAGTGACTCTTTATTACCCAGCAGTGCCTGATGCAGAAAATGTGTAGTAATAGCAATGCCGTAAAAGAAACAATTGAGGAAAACTGATTCTGGGATAAATTTTAAACAGAGGTTGTGTTCTTGCTAGTGGTATTTGATCTCCTCTTCCAGTCCATGACTTTGTTTGGGACATGGAATGGAAAGTGGATGTTGTTGTGGGCATGCAGTCAGTTAATTTGTGATTGTCAGATTGTCACTTATAAGTGAGGATCATGCTTTTTGTTTTGTGTTTGCGTATATACGCTTATGTTGGTATTTGGTACATACGTGTATGAATATATTATTTGGGTAGCTACTATCATATGCCTAACTTGATATTCTGCATGGTATGGAATTTTCTTATGGATAAATTTGCTTTCATCCTTGTTTTTCTTTCACTTCTAGACCTGAACTGTTCAGCTGGGACAAAGTGACAAAGATGTCCCCAGTTGAGAGACTGGAAAATGCTTTCAACATAGCCAAGAACCATTTAGGAATAGAGAAACTATTGGATCCTGAAGGTGGGATACAGTTTTTACTCAACAAGAAGCTTTTTTTGAGCTCTCTTAAAAGAAATTTCTTCTATTGATACTAAGTATGAATAACGATTCTATCAGCTTTGTGCAGTGTTATTTAATTGCAAGCCTTTAAATTTTGGATTTAAGCAAACGCCATTTGTTAGGGCAAGGGTGTGGATGTACATGTGTAGGCTTTAGTGTTTTGAATATTGAAGTTTGGGTTGACTTTCCATCCAGGGACTTTGCAAGGAAGGTGAAGTTGGTACACTGACTTTGTTTCCTTTTAGGCAGGAGCTGTGCTGCAAGGGTGTGTGCTTTTCAGGTGCAGTAGTGCATTCTGTAGAATGGGTTGGTTTAAGAGCTCAGAACTTGTTCTTTACACACACACTGAGTAGCAGTAGCTGCCTAGGAATGCTTATCAGGAAACCTTTATGGCTCCTTTTTAATTTACTGACCTGTTCGTCTGCTTTGAAGTGAGCTTCTGAAGATTCATTCTGAAAGACAAGCACCCCCTCCTTATTGAAAAGAAAAAGTATTAACTGAATAGGTACCATTACCCAAGAGAAGTGGACCTGGCTCAGTGAAACTCTTTCCAGTGTGGAAAATGAGAAAATTACCTGACTGGCAATGGGAAGGGGGATAGAGCCTAAGTGGAAATGTTTATTTATGTAGGATACTGTTCTTGAGCTACATTTCTGCTCGGAAGATGCTTCAGAACAATTTTCCCCAAGCAGATTTTATTCCTCAGCAACTTCATATCTGAGTTCTTACTACAAAAAGATCAAGACTTTTACTGTGAATTCACTTCCAAATATAGAAAATCTATTTTTTCTTTTTTTTTTTTTTAGCTCCTTCATGCTATTTTTAATGTGTGTCCAGCCTGGTCTCTAAGTTAGAACTTTATGAAAGGCTGTTGAACAGGACAATATGTGAACCTGTGTTCTATGTAATGATTTAAAAAATTGTCTTCATTTATTTTTCCCCATGTTTTATCTTTTTGATGCAGATGTTGCTGTACAGCTTCCAGACAAAAAGTCCATTATTATGTATTTAACTTCTTTGTTTGAGGTCCTTCCTAAGCAAGTTACAATGGAAGACATTCGGGAGGTGGAAACCCTTCCAAGGAGATACAAGCAAGAATGTGAGGATGGAGAATTCAGTGTGCAGCAGGTGTGTTTGTTATCAAAGCTGGCCTTTCTTTTCTGCAGTTGTAATTTTAGGTGGTCTTCATGTTTGTCAGTTATCTCTGGAACATGCCTTCTGTCTTGGGCAACACAACTGGGAAAATACGAAAAACTTCTTTGTCATTAACTTCAGTCTTTCTGCCTTCCTTTTTCATCTTGTGTATTGAGATATAAAGTTCCATTTGTGTTATGCTGCTTTTTTGTTTTTTTTTTTTTTTTTTTTTTTTTTTTTTTTTTTTTTTTTTGCCTCTCTGTTTCATACATCTTGATCAGCTGAAGAGGGTGGTCCAGGATCTTTAACTGAATTTTCCATGGAACTTGTGGTGGTTAGTGATAGTGATGAGGATTTGGTTGGTTTTGAGATTCACTTTTGAGAGAGCAAGATTGAAGTTGTATTTTCCATTCAGGTTCTGTACTAATGAACTTTTATTTTAATATAGTGACTTTGGCCTTTCTTATTAAAGTGTATCCAACAATTTTTTTTAACATCTTATGAAAGCTTGAAAGAGTTCTTAGTTGTTCTGTTTTTAATACCATTGGGGACGGCATCTTCTGTGCATTCTAAGACATCTCTTTCCTCTTGGCTGCCTAGACTGTGTCACTTGAAGAAAACCAGGACAGTTCTAGAGCAGAGACTCCCAGCACAGTGACAGAGGTGGATATGGACTTGGATAGCTACCAAGTTGCTCTGGAAGAAGTCCTTACATGGTTGCTGTCAGCTGAGGATGCATTTCGGGAACAGGAGGAAATATCTGGTGATGTTGAGGAAGTCAAAGAACAATTTTCCACCCATGAAGTAAGCTTCTCTTATCAATTCTTTTGGTGTGGTTTAGATTCCTTTCTTTTTTTTTTTTTTTTTTTTTTTTTTTTTTTTTTTTTTTGTGTAAATAAGCTGCAGAACTTCCATTTCCTAGCCTTTATTCAAGGCAAAACTCTTCTTTTTAGAAGAACCTACAGTGAAGCATCTTTGAAATCTTAATGTCTTTTTTTTAAAAGAGCCTTTGGTGACTGGTTTACAGGTGTGCATAATACAAAGGCAGTCTGATCTCAGACTGAGTTGTCAATTACTAAAATTGACAATTACTAAAAAGCCTGGTCAGCCTTATGCCACTTGCTGTTAAATAAGGGTCATGCTGAAATTGACAATCATGTCAATTTATTCAGTGGTCCTCCTGTGATGATAGTTTGTTTCAGAAACATGTATGGATGCTTCCAAATTATTTTTTTTACAAATTTTGGGTTGACTTTGTTATAAATCTGAGCAAATGTCCTAATGTTGCTAGAAGTTTGTCATGTTAGATGATTTAGTTTTCTCCCAAGTCAGTTTACTGTATAAAACAGAATATATTTTTGTATACTGCGTTTGAATTCTGATCAATAGGAGGAATTTTTCCCTTGTGCTATAGTTTTAAAGCCATGAAGCAAAGGAAGAAGTGTTCTGGATTTACGGTAAATATATATTGCTAACTCATAGGGTTCTAATTGCTTTCCTAAAATACATTTCAGATGTTGTTTTATGTTCTGTTGGTAATAGGTAAATGCCTGTTTTATATTCTTGGTGTGTTTGTTTGAAGGCTCTCTTGACCCAAACAGGTCTTTCATTTAAGTGGTTGGATTTTTTTCTCTGTTTTACTGGATGCAGAATTTTTGTAGCACATGGAAAATCTTGTCTTATAAAAGGAACAGGTCTGCCATCCTCATGCATTTGATGGTGCCAGCTCCTTCTACACACTTTTTCAAACATTTTAAGTTTTTAGGATATTTACTAAGTCATAAACTCTGATAGGACCTCACAGTGACGTGTCTGCTTGTACCATTTCCAGGGTTTTATGATGGAACTGACTGCGCACCAGAGCAGTGTGGGCAATGTTCTGCAGGCTGGAAACCAACTGGTGGCCCAGGGAAATCTGTCACCAGAAGAAGAGTTTGAGATCCAGGAGCAAATGCTGCTGCTGAACTCCCGCTGGGAAGAACTCAGGGTGGAGAGCATGGACAGGCAGTCCCGGTGAGTTCATGGCACATAACTTCTAGAGCTTCAGGACTGACCTCTGGTGTTTGCTGTGTTTTGGAGAATTTGGTTTGCATCCCTTTGTAAGACATTTTTTTAGACTTAACATTTCAGTTTGTGACAAAAAATCCTCCTTCATACTTTCTAAGGTGAAACAAAAGGAATGAGTATAACTGATTGGGGTTTTTTTTTTGTCATTACATAAAGTATTTTGTGAATTGTTGTGTAGACGTGCCAGACTAAATATGTGGTATTTAAATGCAGTGGTTGCATAAAGTACTGAAACAATATTATAAACATTTAAGTTTCTCAATAAAGCGTGTAGTGGCTGTGGATATCTATGGGTATTTACATAATTAAAAAGCTTGTAGAATAATTTTTCCCTACATATGGGTTGCCAAGGTAAGAGCTGCACATCAGTGGAGAAACTGTGTTTTGTTGTGACTTTGAGCAGTGGCTTTATTAGCAGCAAACCCCCAGGGAAGAAACAATCCCTGATATAAATTGAATATAATTCATGAACAATTTTTGTTGAGAAAAAACCAAGAGTACTTATCTGTGTTCCTTAGCTAAACGGTGAACATTTTATGTGGTGATAGGTAACAGTTTTATGTATGGCCTTGCTTCTTTCCTGTATGAACTAGAATTTACTTCCTTTCTTCAGGAAAGCTGTTCCTGAAGTAACTCTGTGCTTCCCCCTGCAGCCTGCACGACATGCTGATGGAGCTCCAGAAGCAGCAGTTGCAGCAGCTGTCTGACTGGCTGACAGTCACAGAGGAGCGCATTCAGAAGATGGAATCTCAGCTCCTAGCAGAAGATTTGGAGTCACTTCAAAAACAGCTGGAAGAACATAAGGTAACCTTTTGCTGTTATGTAATATGTATAGGAGAAGTATTTGGAAGATGTGTATGTTGGTGGATTTCTTGACTGAGAAACTTGATTGTCAAGGGTCATATATGGCTGCATTTGGTGTTTGGGAAAGGATGATGATGGTGTAGAAAGGAATTAGAAGCTTTAACTTAACACTTGAGCACTGCTCACTGGCAGGAACTATTTGCTTCGTGCAGGAAATGAAACCTTTAGGGAAAATTGTTACCTTTACTTTGTGCAGAGAATAGAGCCTCTCCTGGTAAACTGTTGATGTGACAAAGAGTACGAAAGGTACTGTGGACAGACTTGCCTTTAATTACTGGCAGGCATTACTAAAACCTGCTTGAGACTTGCACATTAAAATAGTGTGAGTGTCAAAATCATCAGGGCCTTCCAAGTCACCAATTCCAGTCCCTGCTTTTACAGGGATCGCATCCTAAGGGAGTGCTTAGACACTGCTTTCTCATGTGTGCAATATTTTGGAAGTGTTTTTACTCTCAATTGAGTTTTTGGGTGCAAATCCAGCCTTCCTACCCTGCAATGTTTTTGTGAAAGAGAAAGATGTCCTTTTGATATTTGTTGCGGTGCAGCTTTAGTTTTCATGCTCAGTGCTGAGGTTTGACCTTCTCCCCAGCATGGGATGTACCTCACAGAACAAGAACACTGGAGTATTTTTAGTCTGTGTAGTTTCCTGTCCTTTGTTTTCAAAGTCTTGGGAGTTTGAGGCATGTGTTTCATAGAGTAGCTTAGTTATAAAAAGTGACATTTACAGTACTGTAAAGGTGTGTTGATCTTGCAGAGATATTTTGTAGTAGGCTTTAACCATTGAGTCTGTTCTTTTAGAAGTTGTATGAATATTTGAACATTACACATTTGAACATCTACACATTGCTTTAAACTAATCAGAGCTGCATGTTTTCTGCAGTTTTCAACTATTATCTTAGGAGCACCATGGTCAGTTATTGCACTGTTGATACTTTTGAAATTATATTGTCAGCTCTTGAAAAATTAGGGTTCTTAATGATTTCTGTTTGGCATGCCCTATGTTGCTTGCTTACTAACAATAGCAGCCCAGTGTAGAAACATTTAAGCTCTCCTAAGCAGGCATATGGAAGTCAGTGCAGTTGTCATGTGATTCTCCTAGTCAAGTATGGGGCATCCAACTTAAGGCACTCTGTCTTTTACAGCATTTTAACCCAGAATGGGTTTAGGTTCATTTCTGGCAGCCTTTTGCTTACAATTTTTAAACTGTACAGTGACTGCCAGTGGTAAAAGCTGTGCGTAGCTGTTGAAGCTGAAATGCTAAAGTTCTTTTGCCACAGAATCTGTAATAGTCACTGTGGCCAAAATAGCAGATTAGCAAATGCATTCCAAGTTGGTAACCTCTGATTTGTTCTTGTAGAGCCTGCAGAGTGACCTAGAGGCAGAACAGGTGAAGGTCAACTCCCTAACACACATGGTGGTCATTGTTGATGAGAGCAGTGGGGAAAGTGCAACAGCTATTCTGGCATACTAATTGCAGGTAAAATCTTAGAAATCTTAGAGCCCTCTTTTTTAAACTGTATTATTAGATACTTGAAAAATTTGCATGTAATTGTTAATCAACATTTTTGTGTTTAAAGACAATTTATCTTAGAAAGTAATTTAAAATAACATTTTCTTTAGGAACAATAATAACTTAAAAATTATTAAATCAGCTCAAGCTAAAACCTGCAAAAGTGCTTTGGTGACTTTCAAGGTCTATCCCTGATTAGTCAAGTAGTTTGCATTCCCAATGACCTAGATACTTTGGTAGCATATCCTTTAAGCAGTTTGATTAAATGGGAAGATTCCTAGTACAACTCTTATTTCATATAAGTTATTTTCCTACAAAAGTTAAAATCTGATAGGAGAAGTACTTGAAGGCATGAACACAATTTATCTAGGGAATATCATATGAAGTGTTTTCCTGTCACTTAGGACTGTAACCTGAAGTACAGTGAGTACATGATACAGAATTTTTTCAAACAGAAGTCATGCTACTTTGTTGATTCCTTTTTAAGTCAATTAAATCGCTCAAAGACTTGAGCAAAACCAGAGTTAAGGCCATATGGGAATGTTTTTGAAAGTGTTAGTCTCCAGCTCTGTGCAATACAGCAATATCAATAATGGAAAGGGAAGTAGATGTAATGTAGAAAGAAGTTAATGTGAAGTAGAAATCACACATTTGAATATCTGGTTTTGGAGTTTCTTTGTGAGGTTCATGATAATTTGAGTGTTTTGTGCTTTTGTAGAGGCTTGGTGAGCGCTGGACAGCAGTTTGTCGTTGGACTGAGGATCGGCGGGTCAAGCTGCAAGAAATTCAGCTTTTATGGCAGGAGCTGCTGGAAGAACAGGTGAGTAGCTGTTCAGTTTCTCAGAGTGACTGGTTGATTTGTGGAAGGGAAAAAAACAAACTGAAAAAGCACAAAGAATCAAATCTCTGACCAGGATAGATTTCTTTTCATGGAAAAGAAGCCTTGAAAGCCTAGAATTTGTTATTGTTTGGGTTCCCTGTGCTCTTTGAGGACAGGAGTATCTCTGAAGTGCAAGAGAATTATTTTTCCAAAGTTTAAGAATAGAAGTTTATAGCTCCTTGTAAAGTCATTTCCAAGGTATCTTGTAAAATGATCAAGAACTGGGAATATCAGTGATATTTAGAAAAGTCATTGTCATGTTCATATTGGGTACCTTTGTAATTACAGAAATCTTCCTAATTAATGTATATGTGCTTCCAGCATGAACACATATACACAATTGTGAAATACTAAAGTGTTTTCTTGCTTTGATATAATTTATTTTACATAAAAAATACTGCTCAAACACAAGTAACTGATGGCATAAAATATATGCTAACACAGCTACATGTGCTGTTTGTATGCCTAGAACTAGAGCTTGTTTCATTTCACAGCTGAAAGTATTTTATACTTTTTTTTCTTTGAAGGTTTTGCCGAAATTGTTTTTTTCTTAAACATATTTATCACTGTAAGCTATTGTTTAAACAAGGCAGTACTCAGAGATTTTTTAGATATTTGAAAGAAGTAGAACAGTGCTGGTATAGCTACTAGTATTAGCTGCAGCCTGGTTTCTTTGACAAGGATGTTATGTCTGCATTCTTTGGGGCTGTGTGTGTGTTTCTCCCTTACCTCTCCCATATCTGTTTGTAGTATATAGATACGCTGAATTTGCAGCTCATGCGACCTTGTTGTTAATACGGCCCCAAGGTTAAGATTCCGGTTTATCCCATGCCAAGTATTTGTTTGTATGTGTTTCTTTAAAATAACGCTTTGTCATCTGTGTATGTGTACCCAGAAAATTGTGTGCTAATGTTTTTCTGGCAACTCTTGGGCATGGTAATTCAGAATTGAGAAATAAGGATTCCCCCCCAAATCCTTGATGTACAGGTTTGAAGTATAGACTTCAAGTGCTCTTAGTTTTGATTACTCTCATGATGTCTACATCCTTTTCTACCCTTATATTTGTTTGGGGACCACTCTTTGACTATTACAAAACTGTTAGAAGTGCCATATTCTGTTGGAGTTGAACATTTGAACTCAGCTTCTTTTAATTTGTGTGTAGCTATGTTGCTCTGTACAAGCAAAGCAATCAGTGTACTTAATGTAGAATGTCAGATAGCAAATAAAGAGGAAATAGAAGTTTGTTTTAGCTGGTTTAGATGAGTCTTTTTGTACTCATTGTTCACCTGAACAATTCATTTATTACTAGCGGGTTTGAATTACAAATCTGCAATAATGATCAAGTGACTTATGAAAATTACAGTCTGAAACTACTTTAAAATTGAATACAAACACTTTCATAACACAAAAGTAACTAAAACACTTTGTTACAAGCATTTTCTGTTTTGTCCAACCACATGGAGAGATGAGCAACAGTGATGCATCAGCCTTTTTGTGGCTGCCTAGAAAGCTCTTGTACACCACATTCTCAAGTCAACACAATCCTTACCACTCAGGAAACAAATTCCTCAATCAGTGCCAGAGACTTCTTAGCACTGTGGTAATTATGTTTCAGTTTTCTAGGGAGAGTTATCTTTGACTGCTGATTTAGCAGAAATTAGCTGAACGCATGAAGGGTTTTTGAGCTCCTCTTGTGCATAAAATATGTTGGCTGGGATGCCAGCATGATTTTTCCAGAGAGTGTGTGGTGTTATAATTTTTTTTCTCACAGCCTTATGGCATTTCAAGCACCATCATATTTTCTGTCTGTACATTTTGCATATTGGTTTACGTTGAAAATGTAAACTGCCTTAGCCCTGTGGCCCAAAGTCACTATAGTAAATTCTGGGACAATGCCAAAAATATACAGCTAGGATGGGGAACCTGGTGGCTGTTGTAAAATGTGCTGTTCAAAGAACAAAAAGGTCTGTCGTGCTTTGTGATTTATTTTTAAACACAGAGGAACAGCAGTGCACCAATGGCTGGGAAACTGAGGTTGATAGAGATGGGCATTCCAGTCCATGGAGATTGCTGTCCAGCAGCAGCAGCATTATGTGGGAGCATGATATAGAATACATCAAATCCTTCCTGGTACTTGATGCCAGTTATTGCTGGTGTTCTGGAGGAGTGCTGTGTGACTGAAGAGAAGTGAGACCCAGGACAGATTTTGTAGGAAAAAAAAAAGGGAAAAACTAAAGGTCCCTGAGTAAGAACTATTCAGGGCAGACCACTCCAGCTTCAAGTAGTTAATGAAATAGGATTTGCTGAAGTTGTTTTGCAATTGAAAGTAGACACCATAAACAGGGAGGTGACTAACTAGTATCTCAGTTTTTGATCAACTGCCTGGACTAAAAGAAATGTGAATTACCAGTGGTATCACTTTTGTAACAAAATATTTGTAACAGCTGTGTTTGAGTCACAGAGGAAGGGTGGAAAACAAAAACTCATGCATGCCATTTTGATATATTCTAATATGATTTCTAAATCCTATGTTAACTTTATGGTGATGCATGCCATTTTGATATATTCTAATATGATTTCTAAATCCTATGTTAACTGTTATATCCTATGTTAACTATGATATCTGTTTGCTATAACTTGGGGGGAGGTGTGCTCTGATATATTGAGAAATGGTTTTGTTGAAATTGTTTCACTGGAAGTATTACTTGCTTCCATAATCTGATATTTTTGTCCACTTTTTGTGTACTATTTTTGTTAAAGCCAACTGAAATTCCTGCATATAAAGGCTGCAGAACTGTGCTCTGAATGCAAAGATTTTAAAGATGCAATTGTCAATAGCTGTTTGACAATCTTAGTATTTTCTTGTGCTATTTTTCTTATGATCTGCAGTGCTTATTGAAAGCTTGGTTGACTGAGAAAGAAGAGGCTTTGAGTAAGGTCCAGACGAGCAACTTTAAAGATCAAACAGACCTGAGTGTGAATGTTCGAAAACTAGCAGTGAGTATTAGTATCCTGCTCTATCCCATCAAATCTCATAGACTAGATGAGTGGCAAATTACTAGTTTGACCCTAGTAGGAGCTGTGAATGCATGATACAGAAGCCAGGGCAATCCTTGCCAGATTCTTGCACTTGAATTGAAAACATATGTACTATTTACTCCATGGCAATTCTGTGTTGATGTGCCAAACTCTGAAACAGCTATCCCAGATTTTTGAGAGGGTTTGGATGTTATTGCAGACCACCAGTCAGCTGTGCTTTCCAAGGTACAGGTTTGTGGTGTGGGTTTTTCTTTATTTCATTGGAGCAGCTTGTACCTGAACTAATCATTTGTAACTGTTACTGAAGAGATACTGCTGGTTCCTCTAGGAGGTGTTTCAAGGATGTTCTCTTTAAAAATAGTGTCTGTTAGTGCTTTTTTTACACAAAAGAAGTGTTCATCTGGCTCAGGTAGTACATCTTCCACCCTGTCACCACCCTTTCAAACCCCTTTGCATTTTAGCCATGGAACTAAAGCTTAGGGGAAGTAGAATACTCAATGTTATATTTTAATATTTTCTTTTAACTACAGATTTTAAAAGAGGACATGGGTATGAAACGACAAACACTAGACCAGCTGAATGAACTAGGTCAGGATGTGGCCCAAATCCTTGGGAATGGCAAAGCATCCGGTAAAATTGATCAGGATCAAGAAGAGCTAACTCAGAGGTGGGACAGTTTGGTTCAGAAGCTAGAGGATTACTCTAACCAGGTATTTACAAGGCTTTATTACTTTTTAGCTTTTTGTATGACTGAATGTATGCAAACTTCACTGTGTTAGCAAAATTGTCCAGGCGTCAGGCTAGAGAGGTAGGTGAGTGCTTTTTCACATGGGGCTGACAAAGCTGCCTGCGTTTTTGGTCTCAAAAGCCCAAGTTGTTAACCTGACCAGTACTATTACTCCTTTCTCACACAGATTAAGCTTCATTTTTCTGATGAGTAAAGCAGGCTTGCCATGTACTATCAGTCAATGCAAATGCCTTTAAACATTGTAAGAGTGCTGGGACTGGATTTAAATCTGATACTAAAAGAAAACAAAGGCAGAACCCAAACCCCAGAATAGATAAATAAATGGGAGTCATAAAAGTATTTATGTTCTGTGAGTATGATTTCTCGTCTGTTGAAAATAGAGTAGTTGTTTGTTTGACATGTAATGATGATAGCCAAGCTGGATTGTTCAATGTTTATTTTAGTGTTTTGAGTGCTTGGTAATGTTTTTATTTAGACAGAACTCCTACTGGATTCTGTGAGAGTTTTATTTGACAGCTTTATAACTCATATGTGCTTTTTCTGGTGATAGTAATATGTTGTTATTGTGAAAACCATGGTACTAATTCTTCATCCATTTAATGTATAGTGAATTAGTTGTGCAGTCTGGGTAGGGGCTCATTTCAGCCATGTGGCTTTAATTTGTTCTTGTGTTTGAGTCAAAGCACTAGAGAATGCCAATTCCTGTCTCTATCCTTTCATTCCCCTTAAATATCAAGCACATACTTGGAACTTACAGGTTGAGTCTCCAGAGATTTACCTCATAACCTGATAAAGAGCATGGGAAGGTTCTATTGACTCGAGTGAGCTTTTTGGTCAAATTCACTGTGTATCAGCTCTTCATTAGATCTAGGCTTTGTTTTATAGAGTAAGAGTAGAGTAGTAGTAATATGTAGAATTGCTAATAATAAACTCCAAGTACCTTAGTTCTTTTTGTGAAGAAATTATGAAAGAAAATACATATAATGCTCCTTTTGTTAATTTTAGTTCACTTGGACTGGCATGATTCTAGTTGAACTGAGAATTTTGATGCTTGGTTCCCATCTGTAAAGTGAGAATAATGATCTTTTTCTCTGGAGTGTATCTATGATAAAGGTGCTTCATGACAGCTCCATGTGGTCATTTGTGGGAGTGAATGAACAGGCTTTTATGTCTGAATAAAAGAAAATAAGAAAAAGCAACTCAGCTTGTGTAAAAATGGCACATAATCCTTACCCTAAATTATTTTGTATAGGTAACTCAAGCTGTAGGAAGCATAGGAATGTCACAGGTTTCACAGAAGACTGCTGCAGAAACACCATTGAAGGAACAGGTAGTGGTTAAACAGTCCAGACAAGAATTACCCCCACCACCACTCCCAAAGAAAAGGCAAATTCCAGGGGACAGTGAAGCAAAGAAAAAGTAAGTACATGTCACTGCAGTTTTCCCTTGCTCATTGGATACTACAGAGACTGTCTTGACTTTTGATCTTTCTTTTATGCAAGTGAGCAATGCTTAAGTTGCTGCTGTGAGGTTGGTTTGGGGGCTTGTCTAGATTATCTGCAGTCATCCCTTCCAACCCTAACAGTTCTGTGATTCTTTGAATGGGAATGGAATGTTATATGCAGCCTTGTTTTCAGAGCAGGAGAAAACCTGTAGCTTCCATTAATTTCAAAGGAAAACAGGGATGTTTTGTTTCTCATAGAAGCAGGTCTTCAGTCCTTTGTACTTCAGTTCCTTTGCTGAAAAGACAGATTTCTATTTACTTCCTTTAAACAAAACATCTCATATTTGCTCAAAAAGGTGTTGTGAAAATGTCAAGCATTTTGATTGATTGATTATTTATTTCTAATTTTCATAAAACATATGAGAAAAATGGGAGAAACCGCGCAAAAAAAGATGCCCAGAAACATTTTCCATCTCTCTTGTATTTAGTAATAGGAATAATATTGCACTGATGTCTCCTTTGACAAGTATTTCTGGAGTTGCTGATGCTCATTTGCATATATAGTCTCATAGAATCATTTGGGCTGGAAGGGACTTCAAAGATCATCTCATTCCAACCTCCCTGCTATGGACAGGGTCACCTTCCACTAATGCAGGTTGTTTGGAGCTTTATCTAGTCTAGTCTGATAGGCTTCCAGGGATGGAGCATCCACAGCTTCTCTGGGCAGCCTGTTCCAGTATCCCACCACCCTCATACTGAAGAATTTTTCTTATATGTGATCTAAAATATACTCTTTCACTTTAAAAGTTACTCCTTGTCCTATCAATACACTTCCCCATTGAGTCCCTCTCCATTTTTCTTGTAGCCCCCCTTTAGGTACTAGAAGGCTGCTATCAAGTTTTCCTGGAACCTTCCCTCCTCTTAAGCCAAACAGTGTTTAATAATTTGTGTTGAATTCTTGTTATTAAATAGCATACCTAAAACTAAAGGAATTATTTCAATATAAATTAGGAAATTAAATGCTGTATGCTCAACATTTGGCTTTTTGTGCTTAGCTGAGGAAATGAGTATTTGCTTGAAGTATCACTAGTTTAAATCTTTGTCAGATCATCAGAGATAGAATAGAAGCTGCATCAAGACTAAGGAGTTGCTGTGTGTTTGCACAGTGAAGAAGAGTTTTTTAATTCATTTTTTTCTGGAGGAGGAATGGAGGTTTGAAGGGGTGAGGAACCTGCCCAAACCCTCTTGAGGACTCTGGTCAGACCTTTTGAGCTCTGGTAGGGGTGGTGTGTGTATCTGGACATGCCAGGGCAGTAAAGTAGTCAGCAACCATCTGTCTTTTCCGTGTCTCATCAGTTATAGAAACTATTCTAGATTTTGAAAGCAAAATTGATTTATCTGTCATCTGTTTTCCTAGAGTTAAAACTGAATTAAAACCAGGGGTAGTAAAAATAGGTTATAAACTTTCTGATGCTTTTGTGTTTCCATTTACTTCTCTTGGAACCAACAAATTACCAGTAAATGGAATTTTGCTAGTTTTCCCATGGAAACTTTGATTGACAATTGCATTTATTGGTGTTCTTTTATTCCATGTTAGGATTCACACTGTTAAGTAATCTAATTGTAATACAACCTGTCTTGTGGTCTGTACAGTGTATCTGTCCATCTCTCAAGTTCTGTACAGTACTGGTTGATTTCAGAGTTGATTGGGGTTTTTGTGGTGGTGTTAGGTTGTAGCTTAGAGGCCATAGGGGTAAGAAAGTTGTTAGTATAGACATGTACACTGTAGACAGAACCAGTAAGCTACAAGTTAATCTTTTGTCAGCTAAGTGTGTACAAATGTTTGTCAGCTGCCATTGCCACTGTTAGCTTTTCCTTCAGACAAAATAGTGTTGCAGACTTTTGAAACTTAGAACTGTAATTCTTATTTGTTTTGTTCCTGAGATCTAGTTATTGATTTCAAAATACTTGGCATTGAGAGATCTGTTTTGTAACATATGAAAAGAAATGGTTATAATTTGTGTGAAGCTGTGTGTAAAATAAATTGCACCATGTATTCTCAATTTGTTCCTGAAGGCTGATACTGTGGGTATAAATTTTATTATGGTAGGCTTTTAAAAGTCTGTCTCTACTTCCTGTGAATAGTAATATGAGGAGCATGAATTTTGTGTAATGTCTTGCTGGTTTGGGATTGAATAATGTGCTGAACTTTAAGACTTTTGATTTTTAAGACAGAGTGACTGAAACCAAAAAACAAACCACTGTCTGACCTTTTAAACTAGGTTTGATGCTGAAAGTACTGAGCTCTTGAACTGGATTGCAAAATCAAAATCTGCCATTCAGGCCGCAGACATCAAAGAATATAAGAAGATGAGAGAGACTTCAAGCATGAAAGAAAAATTGAAGGTAAAATGGGGAAGATAGAGCATGTTTCAGTGAATACTGTACTTTGTATCTAAGCTGGCAGTCAGCTGGAGGTGTCAGCTGGAGGTGTGAGCTGATCTGCATGCTTTGAGGGGATTAAGTCTCTCAGTTAAATAGTTTCAGAACTGAGCATACATGGAAATCTCTGACCAGCTGGACATAATTTTTTTGCTGGTGTTGTTGCATAAGCCACAGGAAATTTTAAAAACATAAATTACTGATGTCTCCCTTGGAGTTCTGAAAAATGTCTGTCTTCAGGTTTATTATCTTTTACACTAAGTAGCATATTTTGGTTTAATGTTTCACAGTTGGAAATGGCCTTGATTGACACTACTTATATAATTTTGGTGGAGATAGGCCAGTGGGGTGCTCAGAGACCCCTTAAATCATGATGTGACCCTCCTCAAACACTGTACCACCCAGGGTCCAAAGTGGTTTGTTATAATGCTTGGACATGTTGTTTGCTCTATTAATTTTGGAGAAAACCTGATTGTTACAGCTTGTGTACAGTATTGCTGACACCTGCAAGGCAGACTACATAATCTTACAGAATCTTGTGGGAGCTGTGAAATAACCATTTAATTTTCTATTCCTTGCCAGGAATGTATTCTTGCCTTTCTCTGGTTCTTGAGCATTCTTTGTTAATGAAGACTCAGTGGAGCTTTAGCAGGACCTGACTCTGCATTTGAAATCATAAACAATACTTAAAAATCTCTATAAAGAGGCTCCTTCATAGTGCTCTCGTGGAAAATGGTGCAAGTAGGAATGTTTGGAATGGCAGTACTGTTGGAAAGAAAAACCAAAACAACTACCCCAATATTTTATTTATAGATCTTTAAGAATGTTTATAGCTCTTCAAAAAAGAGGCCCTGAGATGAACATCAGGTTCCCATGAACAGTACTTTTTTTAAATGATTTGACTCTAAGTGGATAGGACAGAGTTTGTTCTTCCCAGCTGTGCAAATAAGTGCATGCTTCTGAATGTACTGTAGGAAGCCTAAACCAGAGTAATGACCTTTGACATGAGGTTCAAAAAGATTTTAGTTTGGAGATGTGTTGTTGTAATCACAGAGGATTGTAAAGTTGTGGTTTTGTGGCCAAGGAACTCATCTTTCTTCTGTGGATGTATTCTATCTGTTGAGTCACAAAGGAATATTCACCAGTATGTGTAACTTGTGGGAGGAGCTTTTTCCTTTAAAAACCTTGCTAGTAATGAAGAATTTCCCTCTCCAAGTCTTTGTAAGGGAGAGTAGAGCACTAGAGCTTATGAGAGCGGATTACTGGTGTGCTATAGTTCTTGCTGTTTGGAAGAACTGTTCTAGGGAACAGGTGTGTTGGTCCCTTCTACAGGAAATCACAGTAGGAACTATAGAAATGAAGGGGCCATTAAAAAGGTGGTCTTTTCTCCACTGGTTCACATTAGAGGATTACAGGTGAATTTTTGATCACAAATGACTTGTTTCAACTGTTGTCCCAATATCTTATTTCACACTGTGGGATCGTCAAGCCGTTGAACAATATTTTATTCCTGGTGCTGTAGTACTAATCTCTCACATGCCTCCTGCTACTTATGAGAGCTGACTCCTTTTGCATTTGTTTTCTGCACAAGCAGAACTAATATGCATCTCAGAAGTTGGTGTATCCAAAATAATGATGTGTTTTTGGTAGTAGTGGGAAAATAGATATTACTGGGTGAAGGAGGGAAGTCAAGGAAAATAACCCTTGCTGCCAGTATATTCTTTATTTGATTCACTTTGAAGGTGATTGAAAAGGAAAGACCTGAAAAAAGCCAGAAGTTAGATGAACTGAAACGAAGTGGACGCATTCTTTTGGATCAAATGGGAAAGGGTAAGCAACTTGGATGTTTTTCTCTTTTGTGATTTAATCAGTTGAGTTGCTGGGAAATAATATCGAAATACATTATCTCCTTCCTTCTCCCTCCATTTTCTTTCCTTCAGTGGTCATTGTTACTAGTTAGTTGTGTGTTTTTTCAATTAAGCTTTTAGAAAAGCAACATTATTATTCATTAATGTGCATGTGTTCATTTGCAATCTTTTACGGGGTATTTTAAGAAATTATTTCTCTTTCAGTAACAATGCTAGTTACATGCTTTCAAGGAAGTAGTTTGATTTTAAGTAAAAGTTTTAAGACAACTGCTATAGAGAAATGAAATTTTTGAAGCTAAATTTAAACTTGATACATATGTGTCTCTTTTTTCATAGTTTTATCTATTTTTGTAAAAACTGTCCATGTTTTTAATGATGCAGTTACAATCTATGGCTCAAAGGCAAGAGAGAAGTCTATATGATTGGGAAGATGATTGATTGCCAATTAAAACCCTGATCAATGACATCCATGAAAATTGAAGCCTTGCCAAAATCTTGTTTCATATTGAAAAAACAAAAGCATAGCTTTTGTAGAGGTATCATTCCATCAGTAGAATGATACATCTATAAAAGAGATGTTCATATCATCTGGAGGCAATCTTTTAGATCTGCTGTGCACTTGACTTCTGGTGAAGTTATCACTGGAGCATTCAGACAGGAGAGAGGATGGTATCACTGTCCTGCATGATGACCAGCATCCCTTTTGGAAAATGGTGAATTCCACTGGATTTCTGAGCAATCACAGTTTTTTGCAGTCCAATACTTTGCTCGTATGCCCCAATTTACTAAGCATGTCCAGTCCTCCCCTCCTTGCCTACTGCAGCTGAAGCTTTTTACAGTGAGTGCCATTGCCCTGAAGTTAATGGCTGAAAGCCACTGATTTGACCTGGAGTTTGGTTTATAAAAACTTTTAGATGTTGCTTGTTTTCAAACCTGAACAGAAATTAATGCTCCCTTCCTCTTTCTTCTACAAACCCTTGTAGTTGTGATATGATAGGTCATGGTATGAAACCAGCATGTGTTAACCATAACAAGAAATGCATAGTTGAAAAGCTGCTTTGTATCAGCAAAGAGTAAGGTCAAGAATTTGTGTTCTAACTGATGGTTATCTTAAGGGTTGGGGTCTCTAGAAAATAACCAATCTACAGCCCCTGGTTTTGTTAGGGTCTGATAGTATGCTCTGTCCAGCTCAGGCTCGCAGCCTTTTTCCACACTGAGGCCCAGCTACACCTGTGTGGAATAATGCACAGAACTGGCTCATTTGTGCCTACATCCATTTCTATCCTGGGGCAGGTACAGGCTGTGCCATAATGGCAGTGACTGGTCTTTGTGTGCATGCTCCTCCCCTGTGGCTGCTGTGGTGTTGGTGTGCCAAGCCTGTGGCCATTGTGTGAGCACAGGGACATCTATGGAGCAGGGTCATCAAGTGCTCCAGTAGAAGCTGGCTGGCTGCCCTGACCAGAGCTCTGGACTCTACTTGTGCTAGAATGGTTCAGAAAAAAAACCTCTCTCTGTGTCTTTCCTCAAAAATAGAGTATCTCACTCTCCATTTTACTAGAAATATAAAGCTGAAATGGTGCTAGTAATAAGTATAGATTTATAGATATTGAACTGGGAATCAAAGTGTTTTGTATATTAATGTGAAAGTGCTCTTGTATTTGAAGAGAGGAAAGGTTAAATGCCTATTAATGAAAATATGTTGCAGTTAATATAACAATAATTTGTATAATCTTTGTAGATGGACTTCCTACAGTGGATATAAAATCTGTGATGGAGAAAATTTTGTCGGGGTGGAAAGATGTGGTTCAAAATCTAGAAGAAGTGGCTAGAAAAATAAAGTACCAGGAAGATATAAATGCTTATTTAAAGGAAATTAATGAGCTTGAGAAGACTTTAATTGAGAAGGATGACTGGCTTAAAGACTCTTCTTCAGCATCCCAGTCTTCAGCAGTCCTGAAAGACTTATGTCAGGTAAGTCTGGCCAAACTTGCTATTTTTGAATGGAAGCTGTCAGAAGCACAGGATGCCCCAGTAGAGCTTGGCCTAGTCAGTAAGGTAACTCAGTTTCTAAGGCATGCAGGGCACCTGGCTTGACTGGAAGATTTTAGAATCTGTCGCAGAAGTACTTTAGTGTTGTCCCCCTAGTAATGTGGATGAGCTGTGTTGCAGCAGTGTACTAAAATCTTCGTGTTTACAGAGTAAGTGTCAATTTTGGTTTTGGTTTTTCTTTTACAGCAGGAGTTAACTCATCTCATAAGCCTGAGTCCACAGTTGGAACATCTGAAAGCCACCTGCAAGACACTCACCTCTCAGCCCATGCCTCCAAATTTCATTCAGGAGAACTTGAGTGGTTTTCTTGATCACTTCAAATTGACTCGTCAGAAACTAGAGGAACGTCATCAACAGCTGAAAAAAGGTAAATAGATAAACATAAATACATATGTTAGCATAAAGCCTCCTGCTTACATGTGTTTTGATTTTATTTCTTTTTTATTTGTTTTGAGCTGAGTGAAAACTCATTGAATTCTGGTGGAGCTTTTGTAGTGTTTATGCTAGGCGTTGTGCCAAACTGACAAAATTATTTTATTCACCTGGAAGAATGTGGCTTCCTCTGTGCACAATTCAAAAATCTATCATTCCATGGTGTTTAAAACAATTATGCAAGGATGCAACATTGCTGAAACCTCATTTAACTACTTAGCAAGACATATTTAAGGTGGATGATATAGCTGAGAAATCTCTCTCTCTGGTACTTACAGAAATAAATATTCTGTAATGAAATACTAGAAATGAAAAGTAGAATATTAGGAGAACCTTGTAAAATGAAAGTGCGCATGTGAAATTTCTTCTTTTTTATAGCTTTGAGCACATTAGTCATACATAATTCCTTTTGGAAATTTCATCTTTGAAGTGATTTGAATCTGGCTTGCTTTTCAAGCAGTTTCTACTTGGGTTGTTGTTGCATTATAAATTTCATTATGAGCATTCAAACCAGTCATGCTGGTTTTTAAAGAATTTTAAATGTAGTGCATGAAATATGTAGTTCTGGTAATACTTTACAGCTGAATAGCAACAGCACAGACTTGTAAGAGATTTTTTTTCCTGAGTTTTTGTTTCAGAGCAATTTGAGGAAGTGTTTTATTAACAGCCCCAAAATGAATGGCATTAACACTCTATTCTGTGAGTAGTAAAAATAGGCTTAATTACTAAATGTAGTCCATCTATGCAATGTGTTGCACCAGGCCTGCAGGCTTCAATTATATCCATGCAGAAAACTGTTTGAATGAAGTATCTGTCAGCCATGTTCAAATTACAAGGGGATGTTTTCATTCTTACTGTGACTAGTTATTATTTTATGGCTGGTTTTGAGTTCATGTACTTGTGTGTGATTTTATTGGTATTTTGTAATTTGGTAACTATACATCATGTGACAAAAATACTTTTTGTGTGTGTGTCACGCATCACTTGAGGTGTTATTGATCTGCTCGAACCAGTTACTGCTTGGTAGAAACACCATACTTATTCTAACACATTAAATGTGTGTTTGTGTGTCTTTTGAATGAGACAACCTGCTGAGAAGTTATATTGCTGAAGAACAGAGGGAAACATTAGTTCAGGGTTTTAGCTGTTTATTTACAGCATAGTTGAATCGCTGCAAGGTAAAAACTTCCAGAGCTCTGTTAGTGCTGGAAACAGCTAGTGGTGTGACTTAAGCATTTGTGAACTGACAGAAGGCCTGCTCTTCTTATGGCTCTTTGAGCATCTGAAAATTCCCCCATGGAGAGCTACTCAGTCCCAACTCTATTGGCAGTTTTTAGATGGGAATTGACTCAATATTTTTGTCACTGGGAAACTACTTTAACTATTTTCTTCTCCTTCAGCGTTTTCTGTAGTTTAGTGACAGTACACCTATATGCTTCTTATTAATTTTTCCCCTCTCTTTAAATTGAGCTGGCTTTAGGAGGAAAGGGAGCTGGATAACTCTGATTCTCTCAAAAATGTTGATTCATTTGTATAAAAGGTAGGACAGTTCTGACAGTAAACTGTTGAAAAGCTACCTAGTGAGTCAGAACAAGGCTTAGATTAATTTTCACGTGGGGCAGTAACAAAATTGCTTAGGAATCCATGAGAATGTGAGAATGTGCATACCACAGTGCAGGATTTACAGGCCAAATCCTGTTTGCTGCAGTTATTCCAATTGGCTGTTTTCATTCTGAAATGCTACTGAGTTGCTGCCTCCTGCCTGGGATTCCATACAAATTGAACAAATTTTGAGATGTGGTTGAAGATAGCAAGCACATACTCCATCCAAACTTTAATTCCCTTTTAACTCTTCCTAGATGGTGTTTCTGTTCTGATAACAGGCTGAAAGCTGCTATTTTTATATATTTGTATGGGTAAATATATTAAAAACCATGAAAAAGCAAGCAAAACACAAGCCCACACTGACATGTGTTTTATGTATTTATATATATACACACACTTTTATAAATACTAGCTTATATAGTTCCTATATATAGTGTGTATATTTAATTTAATATGGCTATTATATTTGCTATACTATGTTTTCTATATATAGTAGATATCTGTGTGTGTGTATTTGCAGATAAGTAGTAGATATGTCTAAAGCTTAAAAATGCAAAATACTAATTTTTGGTGGTTTATATATTTTAAATACTATGGATTATTCTTAGCATAATAACATATTATTTAAATACTACTGATTCTACCACCCCACCCACCCAAATAGATTTAGGTGCTTAAGTGTATAAAAAGAATTTCGTAAATGGGATTGAATTTGCAAAGTTTTTGGAAGGTTGTAATTGCATATTTATTATTATATTCTATATACTTGTATGTTATATATTTAATATTTTAAGAGCAAAAACAATGCTATCTGTTGAAGAGTTTTTTAGCCCTTGGGAAGTTGATTATGTTCACATCTCCTATGCTTTGGGTTGAAGTGCATTTCCTTACTTTGTGTTTTGTTCCCTTCCTCCTTTACATGGTACCAGAGACAGAAAGGCAGCCGAGCCGGGAGTACGTGGAGTCCCTGCAGCAGCTGAAGGACACGCTGAGCGAGCTGGAGGGCAAGCAGCACTCCATTGCCGGTGGTCTGAGTGAGCCCAGCAAGGTGGAGAGCGCCCTGCAGCAGGCAAAGGTAACTCTCACCTTGGCACTGAGTAAGGAGGTTACCCCACTGCTGTCACCCTCTGTTCTCCTGCCTTGCTTTCAGTGGGGTAGCTAACACTGCTCAGAGGGGCATCAGGGGTGTGGTGTGGAACCCACTTTTGGAAGTGGCTTGCTAAGTTATCAGGCTGCTGAGGGACATGTCCAGGTGAGGGCTGGGTATCTGAGCCTGCAGGACTTCACAGCTTCTCGTGCTGCCTGTGCCAGGAAATGGGGTTGAGAGCTGGGACTGCTCAGCCAGGGGAGAAGGACCTCAGATGGCCTTGGTGGCTTCCCCAGGCACTCTGGTGTGTGTGTACCTCCTGTGCTCAGAAGTTACAAAATAAATAATAGAGCCCCAAGAGCATCCCACTTCTAGTGGCTGGGTTGGATCAGGTTGATGACTTGATCCAAGGTCTGCTTCTCTGTTGCCAAGTGCTGTTGTAAGGAAAACGAGGAGCTGGAGCTGCACCTGCCTGTCCCCATGACACCACAGTCATGCCTGTGCCTGGCCTGATTCTGTCCTTGGGAGGCCGTGTCCCTCCCTGGGACAGGGTGATCTCCTCTGACCCTGCCTCTGCCCTTCTGAAGGGACTGTGGTGTGTAGGCTTTCCACCCTCCTCTCCAAGCACGGGGTAAAGCCCACCCAGGTGTGAGGGGTCTGCCTGATTAAACTGTCTGAGGGTCAGCTGGTTAACAAACCCATCCTGCTGCATCCTGCTTGGGTGTTTAGAGAGAGTAACTGTACTTCTCTGACCTCCAGACTGCCTTTCAAAGGGAAACAGTGCTGTTGAGCCATAAAGGTAATTGGTACAAAAATCCTGTCCAGTAGAAACAATATTTTGTTTCCTGTTATGAGCTTATAAAGTAGACAAAAATTTATAGATGACAGCTGCTTTGGAAATACCAAATACTGGGGCAAGGATGGACCTCTCTCCAGGGAGAGAATTCTGCATCTCCATTACTTCCCCCCCCCCCTTTTTTTCGTTTGAAAAAACTCAAATACTTCCCTGCCTGCTCTACTGCCCTCCACATCTGGAAGCATGTAGTTTTCCTGATGTGGTGGCCTCCAGGTGACACTGGAGGAGCTCTGGTTGCTGGGTGCAGAGAGCACCTTCTCTGTTATATCCTTCTCTATTTAGCAGAGCAATGATTTTTAGAAGTCCAGTAAATACAAGTGTTAGTGCTTTGGGATTTTTTGAACCAGGAGATTAAAAGAAGCTTTGATTCTTTGGTTTTCTTGTTAGTGTTACTTCTGTTTTGTTTAGACTTGGTGGAGATTTTCTTGTCCATATTCTACGTGAATTACAATGGCATTTAGCCTTTGGAGGCTTGTTTTTTCCTGCCTCTGCCCAGTTTTCTTCAGAGACTAATTACCCTGAAAGGACGTACTCTGCTAGTGTAGGTGCTTTAAGGTGAGAGTGTGAGAGGAGAGGGGAACAAACTGTATGTGAGGAGCTGCTTGTGGAGCCTGGGATTTTTCACTTTTCTCTGCATTGTAGAAGGCACTGATAAGTGCTTCATCTCTGGTCTCCTGCACAGAAAGCTCTTGTTTTCTAAAACATACATTCCTCTTCCCAGTCTCATCGCTACCTCTCTGCCCTCCTTAGAGGAAATAGTACACTTTCCAGGAAAAGAAACACAATAAATATAAAGTAGATTTGAGAACATGAACATTTTAAAAAAGATTCTTCTTCAGTAAAAATACAGCAAAATATGTATGTACACATCCTGCTTGTACATATTAAATGTATATACTAGAAAATTAAATCCATTAAATTAATAATAATTTCATGTGTTCATTGTGAATTTCTCTTAAGCAAATTTAAAGCACAGTAATCAAAATGATGAGTTCAATGAAATGGCAGCATTTTTCATGTTTTGGCTTATATCTTCAGCTGTTATTTTTCATATTAGTAAATTAGCTCTTTCAAATCAAGTGACTATATATCAGCAATGTCATAGCGAATATATTCAGAATGTATCCTCCCTGTATCCCATCTGGGAAAGTAGTTTCCAAAACTTGAATATCCAGAACTTTTTTTTTTTGCAACTAAGAAATTATACTTCACTTTACAAAACTTGGAAGAACACACTCTGCCGGTTTGTATGTGCTTTTAAAAAACAAACTTGTGGGGGTATGAACATACTGAGGTCCTGGTCTGGCTGTGCTGCAGTTTGCTCTGTGAGTGCAGTGTGGCACAGCCCTTGCTTTGTTGACTTGAGTGCCAGTATGGCGCGGCACACGAGAGGTGTAGATGCCTGCACATGCTGAGCTATGAGGCCAAGCTTTGCTACCCCTTCTGTAGTCTCTGCTGCTGCACCAGTACAGCAGCTGAAGGTTTTGCTTTTTAAAAGGTTGTTTGGACATCTCTGCTTCAATAATTGCTGTAACTGGAGTATCACTCTTCACTGAGTCTGCACAAGTATCACTCTTCACCATCTGCACAATGAAACTTTCAATGTACTTGAATTTGTATGTGTGCACCTATTGTATGGCTAACACTGGAAGGAGGCTTTTTTTTTCCTTTTGTTATAGACAGTTTGTGAGACACTGGAAGCCCAGAAGCCCAGGGTAGATAAACTTGCTGAAGAAACAAAGGCTTTGGAGAAGCATGCATCTTTGGACATAAAAAACACGTACATGCAAGAGTTCAAGGATGTGCAGGGACGCTGGGACAAGTTAAAGCTCAAGATTTCCAAAGATGTTAAACTACTGGAGGAAATTATGCCCAAGTTGAGACTATTTGAGGTAAAATGAAAGGATTTTTTTTTTGTCTTGCATAACTGAGTTGCTTTATAGACCTTTCTTTCTCTGTGTTCTTGCAGAAGTCCAGATCAAACTGATAGAGAAGTGGAATTTTGATGATCCACTAGTCTGGCAGAGGCTGAAAGCATATATAGTATATTTGTAGCAGCATAGAAGTGGAATTCGAATGTGCCCAGGATATTACTTTGTCTTCTAACAGAAATACTTTGCACTTAAAATTAGTGTCCCTCTCTTTTCATAGGCAAAGGTTAGGCTGAGGTCAAGGATATACCAGCTGTGCTGTTAATCCCAGTAGGGGCTGATGATCTTCAGTGTGATTGGTGTCAGATGCCCATTAGTCTTAAAGTGTAATTCCATGCCTGCTACAGAAAGCCTGCTCCTTCAAGTAAGGTTTTGGTGGAAAGTCATGAAGAATTAGTACAAGGAAGTTAGGAAAGGGAGTAAGGAAAAGGCTTGGGTGTAGTGACTTTTCCAGTTCCAGCCATGGCCTCTAAAGTGACAGGAAGGACAGTTTAAAAATTAAGGTTACTCAGCCTTCCTGCCTATTTTATAAATATATACACATGCCTATGAAATCCTTCAAGACAGAAAATCCCACTGAGAACAGAATCATGTCCTGAGCAAGATGCTAGAAACTTTCCTGTTATCTTAAAAGGAGCTACAGAAGCCAAAAAAGAAATTATAGCAGAAGAAATAATGGAAGCAATTATTAAATAGTGGCTTTTTAAATATTAAACTATTATTATAATTTTTAAGTTACTGAAAATGAAAGAAATATTTACTGATGCTATCTGTTGAAATATGGGGCTTACATTGTGTTGTCTTATGAACTGTATTTTTGAATACACAATTCCTGTGTTTTCTAAAAGTTTTGTAAAGCTGTCAGTGGATGGACAGTTGTGTTATATTCCCTGATTTTTCCTTAGATACTTATCTATATTGAGATTTTTGTAGTCTAATACTGTATAAATAAAAATGACAGTCTGGAACAAGTTGAATAAAAATGCTGTGGACAACACTGGGCACACCAGGATGTAACTTGTACTGCAGGAAAGATTGGTATGGCAGCCTTGGTGCATGGTCCTGGTGCAGACACCAAACACAAGATTAGTTTGGAGAATGACTGGGCAGGCTCTCCTTGGCCAAAAAGGAATTGAAGCACCTGGCTATTAAAGGGGAAAAAAGTTTACATGGGGAGGAAAAAAAAGTGCATGTCAGTGCTTGGAGGACATATGGTTTATGTTTAACTATATGCAAGTATTAGTTTATTTTTAATGGGTTTTTTTTCCCCTCCTAAATCCCCTTTAAAAATTGACGTTTCCCAAAACAACACTCCTCACATTTAGGTTTTTGAAAAGAAACAGTGTAAATATTTTCATTTTAACAGTGAGCAGACAGGTGCACAATGACTAAAATGCTCTTGTTAGCCTGATGAGGATGTCAGTGGCAGATCTGCCTGTGTGTCCTGCTGCTTAGGTGGTTCTTCCGTTATTTGTGATGTGATAGAGGCTCCCCCACGCTGACAGTGCATGCATTAATGACATGAACTGGGAGTAATGTTTTACTGGGAGGCTGTAATACTCATGTGATGGGAGGAGTAGACAAGGCTCATTTTATCAGTTTTGCATCTTGTTTTTCCTAGAAGAAATTTTCTTTATCTTGTATTCTGTTATCACACCTCTAGTAATGTATGGCTTTCTGTGTCTTTGATTATGTATCACTCTCAGATCTTTTAAATCTGCTGCATGACTGTACATCATGTGGTTTTTCTAGGAGTGAACAAGTTAAGATTCAGCACATTTGATCTTTGTTCCTGCCTGGAAAAAATGTCAAAAACTGATCCTGAAGAAGTTAAGCTCTATAGCAGCATTCCAGTACCTAAAGGGAACCTTTAAGAGAGATGAAGGAGAACTTTTTACATGGGCTTGTGGGGACATGACAAGGGATAATGGGCTCTTAACTGAAAGAGGGTAGGTTTAGATTGGATTTTAGGAAGCAATTCTTTACTGTGAGGGCAGTGAGACACTGGAGCCTGTCCAGAGAAGCTGTGGATGCTTCATTCATCAAAGTGTTCAAGGCCCATTTGGATGTGGTCTGGTGGAAGATGACCCTATCCATGGCTGGTGGGTTGGAACTGAATGATCTTTGAGGTCTGTTCCAACCCAGACCATTCCATGACGAGGATGTTCATGTCTAAAAATTGTGAACTGTTGTACATCAACAGCCTACACTGGTTATTTAACCACTGATAATTATTTACATGTGCAATGCAGAAGCATTTACTTAATTAAACTTTGTAAGCTTGGTTTGTGATTCAGCAAGTTATTTAAATGTGTGTCTAACTTTGAGTAATCTCACTTAATTCCCTTCAGCTACTTATGTAAATAGCTTATTGTAAGAATGCTAAATTAGTTGTGTGCCATGGTGCCTTGTCAAAAGGCAGCCTTTATAAATACATATTTTTTTTTACATTAAGCTATAGTTCACTGTTAAGCATCATAGGGTCTTTTTTTTAGAAAATTATTTTCAGGCTAATCATTTGCAGGAAATTCCCCCAAAATGGAAAAGGAATGAAGAAAATGTCATGACTTTGACCTCTAATGGTAGCATTGATCTAAAAATAAACATGGACTTAGTCTAATGGGTTTTCATTAATGCAGACATTTTTTGAGAAATATTGTGTAACATATTGATCTTGAAAACATTGTGAGTGTAAGGTTTTTAAGAAAATGAAGTGTATACTTTCCTCCTTTGTGGCATGCAGAGTAGAAGGTGAAGCTCATGAGCTGTTCTATGATGATGATTGTGTCAGGATAGATGACATCTATTAAAAACTCCAACCAAATAGTCAAAAAATGTTGAGTGAAGGAAGTCCAGCTATATTAATAAAAAATGTCAGCCACCTAAGTTGTTTGAACCAGGGGAAATAAGATCCCTCTTTGTGTTGTGTGTGTTGGTTTTGTTTGTAAGGATGATTTGGAACATCCATGACTGCATGGGAAGGAGATGGCAATGCTTCTGTCTCCTTCCCTCCCTCCTTCCCTTCCTACCTCATTGCAGGGTATAAGGCAGCTGCCAATTGTTAGATCACATAATTCTGAAATTGTGTGTGTTTATTTTTTCCCCCAAGGGTTGCTCTAGTGAGTACAGTGTTGTACTATTGGCCTCAAACATCTATGCTGTTTTTTTAAGATTTTAGTGGTTTGTCTGATCCTCTATGGTTTTTTCCTTTTATGTGTGTCTTGCTTATGCAAATGGCTTTCCCAGCATGGTTTCTACCTGAAAAGTACATTTAGCACTATCCACTCCTCTTTTCCATGTATTCTTGTAGAGCCCTCTCTTTTCCTTTGGAGTGCAGTTTTCAAACAAGTGTGGAAACAGTTATGCATTTTTTTACTCATAGTTTTTAGTCATATTTCCAGCTTTCAGCCAGGTTCTTCATGTGCAGAGTAACCACATAATTCTTGAAGCCGTGCTCTCCTCCTTACCTGATCCTGTGCTTTATGTGATAGATAGCCTGGAACAGTTCAATGTCATTTAAATCATGCTCTGGTGGATGGAAGAATATCGCTATTGTGAATTTAATATTCATATAAATTTGAGAACAGAGAAATTTGGGATGCCCCTCTTTCCCCCAGAAAGCCCAACAAAACAAACCCAAAAATTAAACAAAAGTTGGTCTGATTCAAAACTAAGGCTATGCCAGCAGCTTGTAGAACACCTTTTGCAAGCTGCTGGAAGTTGAAATGCAACAGCCGTACGTTCTTCATCACAGCAATGTATCAACTGTTCCTTACTATATTTGATTTAGACTGACTCTAAAGTTGTTCAGAAGTGGATGGATGGTGTGAAAGACTTCTTAATGACAGAAAAGGCTGTTCAAGGGGATACTGAAGGTCTTCAAAGGCAACTTGACCAGTGCACAGTGAGTTTTGCTCTTATAAGGAGTCTTTTGAAATAACAAGTAGCATCTCTTCTTATTGTTTTGCTTGTATTAAGTACTGTTCATAGCACATTAAGCCCACCAGAAAAATTATTTTATCTTTCTTCAGGGCACTTGTTTGAGTTGGTTTCTTTTTTTGCAGCTGTAATATTTTGTGCTTTTCAAAGGTCTTCACTGTAGTTATAAATATCTATCTACAAGTTGGAATTATTTGCTCTATTACAGGTTCGTATATTATTCCCAATTTTTTGTGATTATGGAATTGCATCTGTGGGTGAAAAGTACCTTCTGCATTAAATTTCCAAGGGTAGTAAAAGTAAGAAGGAAATAGCTGATGGAAGTCCTAGAGTTTAGAGTTTTGCAAGGAAGATTTCTGGCTAGTCAGTGTCACATAATGATCATATTTATGTAGAATTCTGTCTTATAGTAAGTAATTACAGTGTACCTTGAAATGTTTGTTTCCAGGCAAAGAATATAAATTGAGGTACACCAGAAATAGCAGAATATTTAGTGCATGTAATCTTCAAACTTGTGTTGTTTTGATGTTGACATTTGGCATATGAAAATGTTTATGCTGTGTGTGGCAAGCTGTACTTTGTTCTTTAGTTGCATAGTTCTGATATTTTGAATCTCTGAAGGATTAATTTAAGCAGCCTGGTATTGATCTGATCACAGTATTGATCTGCTCCAAAAATTTTCTGGAATAATGAAAAGTTGCAAAATTATTGATACTGTTATAAATTAATGTAATATCTTGCTGAAGAACAACATTCATTTTCTCTGCTGTTTGTTCAGGTGTTTATCAATGAAATGGAGACGATTGAACCATCACTGAAAGAGATGAAAGAAGTAGAGGCTGCTTTAAGAGCTCAGCCTATTGCGAGCATAAATACTTGGACAAAGTCTAGGCTAGTAGACTGCCAGACTCAGTGGGAGAAGCTGAGCAAACAGGTGAGTTCTCCACATGTTGCCAGTGCTTGCTTGTTACTGCAGCTGCCTGGTTGTGTGGCATTGTGAGGATTGTGAGGAGGTGAAGCAGTGAAACAGTGGGATGAGAATGTTTTACTTGTTTCACTGTCAAAGTGGCTGAAGCCCAACTTGAATACACATATTTCTTGGTACCTGACTGGAAGGAACAAAATAAACTCTATAATAGTTTGTAATTAAAAATTAATTTGTTCACTTGGCTTTATGCTGCTCTTTCTGCAGAGTGTGGGAGGAAGGTCTGACCTCTTTTTCTTGTTTCTGAAGACTGGAATATTATGCTGTCCCTGTATAATTTTTATTGGTTTCCAAGCAGCTTTGAAAAATAAAAAGCTATAAATAACTACCACTCCAGTGTATTTGGTTGTTTCTTTTGGGTGGAAGCTTTCTGCTGTCAGTAGAAACATATTTATTTTGTTGCAATTGCTGATGAAAATCTGTGCTAGAGAGCCTTGTTGTTGATATAGAATCCAGAGTATCTGGGTTGTGGAAACAAGTGACGCCTGAAGAGAGTTTTATTGCTCAGTATCATGGTATATCTAACTATATGATACTTGTAGTCAGAAGAGGATTTTATTCTGATTGACTTTTTCCAGGGATTGTTACCAGTTTATGTTCAATGAAGGGGAAAGCAAAGGTCGTACTTCTCCTTCCCTCACTTATAGATTTTGTTGATCTGCTAAAACGAGTTCATAAGTTTGTGTGTGCATGTAAAAGTGCTCCGTTAATTAAAAAGGCCTGAAAATATTTTGGTAGTAAAATATTTTAACAAAGACTTGTGGTTTTTCACATGTACAAGGACATTTAAGTAACAAAGCTGCTCTTTTTTCCTCCACCTTGGATTCTAGATCATTACTCAGAAAAATCGCCTGTCTGAAAGTCAGGAAAAAGCTGTAAATCTGAAGAAGGATTTGGCAGAGATGCAAGAATGGATGACCCAAGCTGAAGAAGAATATTTGGAGAAAGATTTTGAATACAAGTCCCCTGAAGAGCTAGAGAATGCAGTAGAGGAAATGAAGGTCAGCAATGCCAGCTCACTGTAGAGGCCTGAGTAAAGAGAAACAGAACTTTACAGCTTTGAGGGTTAACCTTTTATGGAATTATATTTGTGGAAAGGAGCTCAGGTCATTACAAGATTAGTGGTATTTTTCATTTTTGCTTTGTGGAATTTTTGATTTTTGAAGCATAAACTGTAAAAGCAGATGTTCTTTTTGGCCATGAGGGATAGGGAGTTCATAATAAATAACAGCTTGCTCAGTTGTTGAGTCAGGCTTTTTATGTATAGCATATTAAACATTAGGAATATGGGAAAATTTTGCAGGAAACAAAACTTGAGAAAGGTATAGTGTCATCTTTTATTTCTATCTAAATTAGTGGTTGTGAAAACATTCTTCTGCTTCTATTTCTTGGACCTCAGTTTCTTGTCCCCTAAATATTCTAACTCCACATCTAGAAAATCACTTTAAAATAGGTGTGTTGTAAGGTTATCATGTGTTCATCATCAGTTGCAAACAGTGATTTTTTTTTTTTTTTTTTTTTTTATATCATGAGTTGGAAGAGATCCACAAGGGTCAGTGAGTGATATTGGTCACTGCTTGTCTTTTTTTTTTTTGAATCTGGTGGCCAAGTAAAAGGAGAGGAAGGAGATATTTTTGTCTCATTAGAATATTGTCAGTTGAACAGATCATTTTATTGGATACATGTACAGAGTAAATTGTTCCCTGCTTTTTAATCTAAGAGTTCAGTCATATCTTTATAAATGTTTTTATTTGTGTGCACTTTTTAAATGCGTATCCACTGTACTGTTACTAGATGGATGATTAGAAAAAAAAATTCTCCCTTACAAGTGCTTTAACAAAGCCATTTGAAGTTTTGAATTGTCCCTTTTGAAGGGGTTTTCTGAAGCAGTCCTTAACAAGAGTTTTAATATATTCATGTCCTTTGAAGCCACTTGAGATCACATAGTCTGACAGCTGGCTGAATACAAGCCTTCTTTTCATTGGCAAATATGTGAGACTTCTAGCACATTTACCTTTGTCAAATCCAGATTATATTATGTATATTATGACAGTTATGTCAGTGAGCCTGTAAGCTTATTGTAACACTTAAAATGCCCTTTCATTTGCAGTAACAATATTATCCTGGGCCTACTTTTAGGACTGGGAAAAAGCGCTCTCTGCGTTTGGCTCATTTTTGCATATGCTCTCATTTGAACAGAGTGGAACTCCTGCTAACAGGAGGAATAGATTTAAGGAGGAATAAGTTTAAGATAAGGCTTTGTGGTTTTTGAAAATCCTGCCATAAAATATATTTCCAAAATTTTCTATTCTTTGCCCTTCTGTTAACTGACTCTTTTATTGCCTTCTGTTTAGAAGACATCTTGAAATATATATACAAAAATTGTGCTAAATTCTACTATATAGTGCAATGCCTTATTTATCAGATGTATTTCAATTTCATAAAATTGTTCTTGAAACCTGAAAAGAAAGATACAGAACAGTCTCTGTTTCTGAAGCCTTTTATTTGTTTCAGCAGGAAGACTCAGACTGGTCTGCCTGATCTGTCTTCCAGCTATCCTTCTTCCTTAGTTCTGGCTAAGGCAAAATTTGACAAGTGATAATACAGTTTCTCCAGACCTGTGTGTTGGGAGTTGTACTGTACTTATCCTGTATATATGTTGCCGGGCTCCTCTCAGTGTAGTTAGATTGAAGGAATTCTTCTAGCTGTCCTTTTTGTATGTTCCTTGAGCACACCCAACAGCTGTGAGGGTGGTACCAGCTTTGTAATTGCATGTGTCCTGTGTACTTACATCATCCTTCTTGGATAAATTTGGGAGATAGTTACTGAGCCCTGAGACACATCATTTCTGTAACTTCACCCTACCTTTTTCTTCCTGATATACTTGTTTTAAACAAATGTCTATTTTTTTTTCCCTGGTTAATTTGTTTTTTGTATTTGCATGATAACATAGAAATAGCACTGAACTTAATTTTTTTTTTGCTTTGAGTCATGAGTTTTTTTAATGAACAAACCATGAATGGTAAATAGATCTGTGTGCTTAATAAAACAGGATCTTTCACCACTTGCTAATATGACCTGAATTCCATGCAAGTTAGTGCTGTATTTTGTTGTGTTCAGGCCCAAGAAATACATTGGCAGCAAGACCTCCAATGTGAAACTGCTTATCTTTGATTTGAATGGTGAGTAGCTGAGTGTAAGGCAATTGAAGGTTGATAGTGTAATATGCTTTTTTGACAGAGAGCGAAGGAGGATGTGTTGCAGAAGGAGGTGAGGGTGAAGATTCTCAAGGACAACATCAAGATGTTGGCCACCAAAGTGCCATCCAGTGGTCAGGACCTGGCGACTGAGTTGAATGTTGTGCTGGAGAACTACCAGCTACTGTGCAATCGGATCCGGGGGAAATGCCACACTTTGGAGGCAAGAATGATGGCTCTCTATTTAGAAATATCTGTTCAATTCCTTTATTGATGTTCTGGATGAGGGTATCAAGTCTACCTTTAGTAAATTTGTGGATGACACCAAGTTGGGTGGGAGTATTGATCTGCTGGAGGTTAGGAAGGCTCTGCAGAGGAGTCTAGACAGGCTAATTTGGTAGGCTAAAGCCAAATGAGGTTCAACAAGACCAAGTACCAGGTGCTGTACTTGGGTCACAACAACCCCATGCAGTGCCAAAGCCTGGGGAAAGAGTGGCTGGAAGATGTCCAATGAAAAAAGGACCTGAGGATGCTAATACTCAGCTATGGAATGTGAGCCAGCAGTGCGCCCTGGTGGCTCAGAATGGCAGCTTGGCATGTGTTAGAAACAGTGTGGCCAGCAGGGCCGGGGAAGTGATTGTCCCTCTGTATGCACTTGGTGCTGGTGGGGCCACACCTTGAGTGCATTGTCCAGTTCTGGGCCTCTCACTAAAAGGAGGACATTGGGGTGCTGAGAAGGGCAGCAAAGCTGATTGGAAGGTCTGGAGCACAAGTGCTACGAGGAGCTCCTGAGGGAGCTGGGAGTGTTTAGTGTGGAGAAAAGGAGGCTAAGGGGTGACCTTATTGCTCTCTGTGACTGCTTGAAAGGAGAGTGTAGCCACGTGGGGTTTGGTCTCTTCTCTGAGGCCAGTGACAGGATGAGAGGAAATGGCTTCACGCTGGACCAGAGGAGGTTTATGTTGGGTATTGGGAAGAATTTCTTCACAGAAAGAATGATTAAACATTGGAATGGGCTGCCTAGAGAGGTGGTGGAGTCACTGTCCCTGAAGGTGTTTAAGGCAATAGTGGATGTGGCATTTAGCGCCATGGTCTTGTTGCCAAAGTGGTGTTTGGTCTCAGATTGGACTGGATGATCTCTCAGATCTTCTCCAACTTAAGTGAGTCTGTGGTTTTGTAAAATGAAGGCAGGTGGCACAAGAGCAGAGTGGAGAAGGACACTGAAAATTTCTGAATACAGTAGCTTCAGCATAAATGCATTTTACTCCTTTCCAAGATTACTTTCCCTTGAAATTATGTATTTGGAATCCATGAGACACCATCTAGCTTTGTTTCTATAATTGTAAAATTGGCTTCTGCAAATAAGTGAACTTGTCTCACAGATCTGATACAGATCTTTGTGTCTTCCGAAATGGCAAAAAGGAATTTAACAAAAATTAAAGGTTAAAATCCAATAATAATTAGAACAACAGATAATGGTCTGGGGTAGAGAGTGTGTGTGTGTGTCCTGTCTTTCAAAAAGGATCAGATGCATTTTGTTACATTCTTACATAGTTATACGAACCTTATATCAGTGATAGTTTTAACACAAGTTTAGAGACTGCTATGCACCTTTCTCTGTATCTTCCTGAATGAGCTGCATGTTTTTGTATCTAGAACATACTGTACTGTGACATCTTGCTTAGTTTTTTCTACTTCTCCCTTTTAGGTGATTTTTCAGACATATATCTTTAAGTTGTTCATAGGGTATATGAGCGACGCCTGGCATTCTAGGCTAATTTTGTTCTTTTCTGTTGCTCCTAGGAGGTGTGGTCCTGTTGGATTGAGCTGCTTCAGTATCTTGATTTAGAAACAGCTTGGCTAAACAATCTGGAAGAAAGAGTGCAAATGACAGAAAATCTGCCTGATAAATTGGATGCTGTCAATGATGCTCTTGAGGTATTATAATGATTCTATCAGATGAGTAATTTTTCAGATAACTCTGTTTAAAAAAAACTAAAATTCTGCACTTCAGTAGCATACTGAAATGTGCTGAATATTCTGATTCTTCACATTAAATGAATATACTGATCTGAATTGAAAATGGAGATTTGTAAGATTCTCCGTCAAAAGTGGACTTTTACTATATGTGATAGTGCCATACTTGGTACTGTGGTAAAATTGTATGCTCTGTCCTGGCCTGTGTAAATTGGTTAATTCCTTCCAGGGTTGTAATTGTATGAAATGATGAGAGTAGGCAAAAAGTGCTGTGAAGTTTAATAATTAAAGTAAAATCACCTCTGTGCCATAATGCCATGTGCCATTATGAATTAACTGATAATGATAACTGATTTATGCTTTTAGAGCACTCTCAAGACAGTTGAAGCGTAAAACTTATGTATACAACCAGATTTCCAGCTCTGAAAATACAGTAATATTCAGTGTCTTGACCTTTAAAACTTTTTTCTAACTAGTCCCTGGAATCAGTCTTGCGTCACCCAGCTGATAATCGAACCCAGATTCGGGAACTTGGGCAGACATTGATTGATGGAGGGATTCTTGATGACATCATCAGTGAAAAATTGGAAGCTTTCAATGCCCGCTATGAGGAATTGAGTCACCTGGTAAGAACTTGGGGTGAGGATTGAAGTAGACTGGATTTTTCAGCTCAAGTCTGAAATGATTCTTGTTAGCTGAATTCGAAGATGCCAGACTGAAATAGAGGAAAAGAATAAATAGCATCAGTGGTGTCAGCTGTTTTCAATTGGTAAAAATGTCCAAAGAGCAAGATGCTTTTCTATTTTTCATTACATGAGTGAAGTTTGTTTTGCAAGCTTGCACTGCAGGGATGCCCTGGTATTTTTTAGATAATTTTGACCAAAAGGCAATTCCAAAATCATGCAACAGCTCAATATTAACAACTTAATATTGCCTTGCTACTGCCATAAATACTGGTGATTTTCTCACTAACTGTAAAAATGTGGAGTGTAAGTGACATTTTCACTCCTAGGAAGAAGTAATGCTGAAACAAAGAACAGAAGGAAAACATTCTTCTCATTACTTATCTATTAGGTTGTCCTCTTCCTTATCTCCTACTTCAGTCTAGTCTTTTATAGATTTAATAATTAGAGGAAGGCTAGCTGTATTTCAGATAGCACAGGTTTGTAATTTGTGTTCTGTATCCTGGTAACACAGGCCCCTGCCAAATTGTAGGATGGGAGTTTTCTGTCACTGATGAAAAAATGTAATGACAGAGGGAATTTCAGTTCATCCTCGTTACAATGAGCAACATGAATGCAGTGCCCTCAGCTGGGGGTTATGTGCTGGCATTTAAGTTAGCATTGACTGCTCTTTTTCCTGTTACAACAGGATTGCCATATAAAAACCTGTTTGCTTTGGCAGCTGCAGCACTGGCACACTGGGCTTTTGACAGCTCTCCACACCTGTGTGTGTGCAGATGCACAGGTCTGTGCACGCACGTGCTGATAGGGGGGAATTGTGTTCCTGTGCAGGTAGTGACATTTCAGATGCTGTTAAAGGAAGAGGCAATAAAGGGAAAAAATGTGAACTTCTGTTTTGACAGTATAACCAAATGAGTTTATTGTTTTGAAAGGAAATGTGAATATCAAACAGTATTGATCTGTGGTCTATTGTGAAGTTCCTGTTTCCCATTGAACAGCTAGTTTTTGAAACTGGTGTGCTTATAACAAGATACTTTCTTCCCAAGGTAGTAGGAGAGGTGTGTTTTTGCTATCTCATATGTATCTAGCAGCAGAACCCTCCTTCGTTCCACTGTTTGTCAGTTACTGGTTCAGAAGCCACAGCAAGCTTCAAAAACTGCTGCTTTCTAGGATTCTTTTTAGCCAGTCCTCCAGGTGTAGGATCTTTTCTGGTCTCTCCTCCTTGTTTTGAGGAAGTCTTCCTTCTATGATTTGTATTGAATTACTGCTGCATTTTGTCTTACCTTTCTGTCCTGCTCAGGCGGTGAGCCGACAGATCGCCTTGGAGCAACAGCTTCAGACCATGCGAGAAACCGACCACATGCTGCAGGTCTTGCAGGAAAGTTTAGGAGATCTGGATAGACAGCTGACATCTTACCTGACTGACAGGATAGATGCCTTTCAGATGCCTCAGGAGGCCCAGGTATTTCTGTACAGCCCTTCAGTACAAAACTTTTGAAAATATTTTATGATAGTTCTCAGTCTAGGCTAAGTAATAAATTTCAGTCCTGTGCTGATGCAATAGGTGTTATCTTCTGTAATCTGGAGTGTTTTGTTTTTTTTTAAGAAGGTTGTATTGAACAACAGCAGTTTCCAATTTAGCAAGCTGTCACCAAAGGCACAATATTTAAAATAAACCTGGTGAAGTTTAAGTTTTACAGGTTAGATTTACTTCTGGCGGGTGGTAAGAAAGTTCCCCTTCCTCTCTCTGCAAGCAATTTTGTAATGTATTTTTTTTCCTGCTTCTGTGATATGGCAGAAAATTCAAGCTGAGATTGCAGCTCACGAATCCACCTTAGAGGAGCTGAAGAAAAGTGCTCGCTCTTTCCCTCCTGCTTCTCCTGAATGCAGATCTCCCCGTGGTGGAACTCAGCTGGATGCTTTGCAGGTAAAGACATGAGAGTCACCCTTACACACTGCTGTAAATTGTTTGGTGCAGTCAGATGGACCTCAGAAGAAAATATTATATGCTTTTATGTGCTTTCATAAGGAAACAAGCAGCCATAAATGAGTTGAACAAGGAAACTTAAATTTCACAAGTGTCATGGGATGAGTGAGAAAGTCAGCAAGTCTCTGTGTATGAGTAGAATGGGTACTTTCAAAGCATATGATACAGAATTACATCTCTCTTGCACCTCAGGTAGACATTAGGAATAGGTGGTGGCACCATTATCTGCCAAGCCAAAATTCCATATGTATTGATTTGTGGTGGCATGACGGGTTATAATCTGTGGTGTAAGATTCTTTAAAGGTTATTTTTTGAAGTGCAGGTAGTAGTTTAAAACAATCTTTCAATGTAATCTTCATTAAAACAGAGAAAGCTCCGTGAAGTATGTACAAAGTATCAGCTTTTCCAGAAACCAGCCAATTTTGAGCAGCGTATGTTAGATTGCAAGCGGGTGTTGGATGGTGTAAAAGCAGAACTTCATGTCTTGGATGTGAAGGATACTGACCCAGATGTAATCCAAGCTCACTTGGAGAAGTGCATGGTATGTGTCCAATGTTCATGACTTGTGCTAGGGGATGCTTCTTTTTCTTCTAGTTCTTGTTGCTTAAACTCTCTCCTGAGGAAACTTTGCTTAAAGTCACCATGGAACTATTGCAGTTCATTGGAAAGTGCTAACAGAGCACTTGATAACTAAAAACCTCATATTCTTGTAGGACATAAAAGCAGTGGGCTGTTGATCATAGATATGGTGGAACAGCTGAGCTTTTATAAACTCCCTTCCCTGGTTCATCCTTATGTTCTGGAGAAGCATCACAGTCATTAGTATTTGAAGAAAACAAAGACTAAGATGAAGTACAGATCACAATATTAGCCTTGGAATAAACACTGTTAAATTATTGATCTCATTAATTTTTGAAAGTAAAAACTAGAATAAAATATTATCAGGATATTTATCACAAAACATAATCAGGAGTTGGGAATCTTCTTGTCAGATATTGCTATTAGTTAATAAATCAGAGTTTAAGTGCAATTTGAAGTTAAGGTTCTTAAAGGAAGCAGAGTCAGAAAACCTGACCTACAAATTGATCACCAATATACATATTTATGCCTTTAGAAACTCTATAAGACCCTCAGTGAGGTGAAATTGGAAGTTGAAACTGTCATCAAGACAGGAAGGCAAATTGTACAGAAACAACAGACGGATAATCCTAAAGGGATGGATGAACAACTGACAGCACTGAAATTTCTTTACAATGACTTGGGGGCACAGGTAAGAAAAAGAAATAAATGTAGGAATATTTGTCTGCATGTCATTTCTCTTCTTTGCTGTTAGATGGTGTTTTAAGTTTGATTCTAAAGCTGATAGTATGTAGGCTAGTTGCTGCATCCAGGAGCAATCAGTTGAAAGATTGAATGTTACATGCCCTGGAGGAGAAGTAGCCTTGAAGAAAGGAAGGCTCACAGAGTTTTGATTGCCCTGGCAAAGCTGACCAACCATTCATTAAAGTCCTTTAAGATAATTGATGGTGAGATTGTCATGTGAGAAATGTAAGTCAACCTGAGGTTTTTTGGGTGTCATGATGGTTTTGAATTGTAGTCCATCTAAATAGTTGCTCTCAGTGTGAAATAGAAAATGCAGGCAAACCTGTATTTCCCATGAACTGCATTAAATATTGCATAGTTTTCTTGTTAGTTGAATGTTTACTTGTCCAAGAAGAGTGTTTAAAAATGGTTAAACCCTTACTGGGCAGGTAGGAGACTACCTAAATTAAGATGGAATCCCAAGTGGATTTATGTTTGTTCAGTGATCCATGAATTAAGCAGGGGGTAAAGATGACAGTGTTGGAATATCTGGGAATGGGTCCTAGGAAATATTTTGCAGTTGAGAATTTGAGAATATCCAGGAAGCTGTGGATTCCAGAAGGCACATAGGCAAGAGATTAGGAAAATGTAGAAAGGCAGAGTTACTTGCAGTATAATGTTACAATTTCTCTTTCTCAGCAGAGAACAGAGCACAATTTTTTGAAGTGTCAGTTGATTCTGACTTTGATGCTTGGAGTTCTTCTCAAGTCTGTGTTTAAATCTTACCAGACTAATTGTGTAACTGGTGTGAAATGCAAATTATTTTACTGCGACAACCATCAAATTTCATGTTTATTTTACTGATATGTTTTTAAGGGCAGACTAGATTTTCAGTGAAATTTTTCTTTACAATTTTCTGCTAGGAAATTACTAGGAGGAATTGAATTTTACCTGTGTGAGTGACTAGATTCTACAGTCCTTTGAGTTTCAGTTAAAGGATCAAAATAAAGTCATAAACATCACTTTGGTAATTGCTAGCTATAAATAAATTGGTATGCAGGTTTCTTTATCTCCTTTAGATGTATCTCAATTTAAAATTATTTGTATATATTCTCTGTTGTATAGTAAGATACAAACTTTCCTTTTAGGGTCCTTCCTTAAAGCAAGACAGTTTTAAGATGCAAGCATTCTATATATTTAGGTGGATATTTTAGCTGGCTAGCCCTTTCACATTTGCTATCTTTTAAATTGTAATTTTTTTTGTTTCTTTCCTCTTATTTTTTTTTTTTTTTTAGGTGACAGAAGGAAAACAAGACCTGGAAAGAGCAACTCAGCTGGCACGCAAGATGAGGAAGGAGTCTGCCTCTCTGTCAGAGTGGCTGGCTACCACTGAAGCTGACCTCGTGCAGAAGTCTACTTCAGAGAGCTTGCTTTCTGATCTAGATTCAGAAATTGCCTGGGCCAAAGTAAGCATGCCTACTAAATATTGGTAGAAAAAATTTCTGACATTATGGCAATACTATGTAGAAGTGGCTGTGAATTTAAATCCCTGTAACTTCTTAAATCTCCCGCATCCTGAAATTTTAGTAGAGTCAGTAGTTCGTGTTCAGTACCTTATTGAGTCTGATCAGTTTCATCTCAGGCATTTTGCATCAACCTTAAATGCCAGTGAAATATTTAATATATTACTACATACTTGGTACTAATGGGTATTCAAGAATTACTGTATCTCTTACAATTTCACAATTATATTATTCTTAAAATTATCAGCAAATATAATTCTGGACTGGATCAAATATTTTACTAGTAGAGCAAACAAAGTGCATTGAATGAAAAGTGCATTCAATGAAAAATTGAGTTTGTAACTTTTCATTGAAACAGCTTTGTCTTCAAAATTGTGACTTTGCAAAATAAGAGGTTACTGTAATTCCTTATTTTCTTTCACTTACAAATTGAAGCTTTTAATTGAAACAGGCAAATGTGTTAGTTTCTTCGGGGTAGTTATATTTTCTCACACTGTAGAAATTTGGATATTACTAGGAGTTAGCAGCAAGTGTCAGTTGATACAATTCAGCAGTACTGACCTTTCCAGTTTTTGTTTTCTGTCACCTTTTACTTCTGGAATGGGTCTGTCTGCAGTCTTGAAACTGGAAAGCTCACCAAATGGCAAACTCATCTAATGTAACCTGTTCTCAGGCATTTCAATCAGGATTAGCAATTATTAGTACTAGGATTTTGCTGTGGCAGTATCCCCCAGATTCCTCTCCAAACAAACTTCTGAATCCTTATTGGAAGCATACCATACATTTGTAAGCCATGCAAATAACGACTCTCATGCTGCACCACCAGGAGGATGAGTCCTATATGTTGCATACAAAGTTGTCCTTTCTGTTTTCAAGTTTTCTAGAGGCAATTTTAAAATGTAGTAACTTGAGTATTTGTTCCTGTTTCTATGATAATAAGTTATGATAAAATAATAAGTTACTTAATAGATAGTATGTTCAAGGAGCTCCAGACGCTGGCTGTGATTAAGTGTATTCTTCACCATGCTGTACACTGACATCAAAGAACTTTCTAAGTAGGCAGATATCATCAATAAAGATTGGTAATCTTGGCAAGAGATGACATATTGCTTAATTTGCATGTCAGCATTCATACTTTCAAAAAAGGTGTGGTTTTTTAGAGCAAAAAAACTATTTAAAAGCAAAGATGACTTGTGAAAAAGGGTAGAGCTAGAGATACTTATATTTAAATTTCTGTATTATGTAGCCACTGAATTGAACATCTGCAGTAATGAATTGTGATAGTTCTCAAAAAATATTTAGCGTTGACCTACCATGGTTCTCTTTGTTGCCAACTGTCAAAGTACTTTAATACGAAAAGATACAGAGGATTCCAGAGTGTCTCTTGGAATTTGTGTTTTATGCTTTACAATGCAGAAAAAAGCCTTTTAAAAATGGATTTGCAATGTAGTGTGATGTATTTGCATTACCTACATAATGAAAAGAAACAGTGAAGATGATCTAAGATAACAAACCAAAAGAGTCCCTAAGTTGTTCAGGACACTTACATGCATTGTGCTCTCACTCTTTCTTGAAAAATGAGATCTCTATCTACAGAGAGTGACTGTAAACAGAAAGCAATTGCACTTGGTATAATTCCTTCCACAAGTGAAGATCATCTACAACATGTTTGTTTCCTGTGGAGGTAAAAACTTGCCTCCCTTGTGTTTGGGAGCAGTGCACTTTTAATGGCTGAACTTGTTTCAGAATGTGCTGAGAGAGCTGGAGAGGAGGAAGGCTGATCTGAAGAGCATCACAGAAAGTTGCACTGCACTCCAGTCTCTGGTGGAAGGGAGTGAGACTGTCCTGGAGGAGAAGCTGTGTGTCCTCAATGCTGGCTGGAGCAGAGTTCGAACCTGGACCGAGGACTGGTGTGACACCTTGTTGGTAAGTTGCATGCATGAGAAATATTCAGGGTAGCTCTCCTTCCCCCTCTTAGGAGCAGTTGGGGTTTTCACTTGTCTCACCTTACTGTAAAGTGCAGCTTCCATGTTGCGTCATGCACTTAAAAGAATGTGGAATGGATATATGTTTATGCTGTAGATGGAGAGGTAAGCATGAGGAAGATGGAAAACTGGGCTCCTGCATGTGCTGCTCTTTATTCAGCCTGAATATTCAGCCTCTGTGCCATGAACAGTGGGTTTGTGTTGATAGATTTCCTTGAGATCTGATGTTGGTTATTTGACAGTGGATAACTTTGTGGTGGTGTTCAGAAAAGCACTTGTGACTTTGTCATCCTATTGCTCTTTTGGACAGACCATAACTGCAAGTGTTTGAGTATGGCAACAGCATCCCTTTGGCTGATTAAATGAAAGCCCAAGCATATTATACACCTAAAGCTGCTAATTAAGCTAAATGGACATGAAACAGTCTGCAACTGATACTAGTATGAGACTGATGCTTTTATATAAATAAGATTGGTGTTTAGCTGGTTATGACAATCAACCCATATCAGGGACCTCTGAAGGTGGGAGTTGTGGGAACTTTACTGTATACATGGATGGTGAGCCCTGTGCCTCCTGTCCATTGCCTGTTGAAGGTGATAGTGTAGTTTTGTAATCCAATTCCATGTTAGGATTAGTCAGGTAGTTTACCTTTATGTGTAAATGCTGTAAGGATGATCCACAACTAAATGCTTCTAGATTATGTTCATATCTGGTTACAAGTATTTTCTATGCTCTCTATATCAACATCAAGAAATTTATAGCTCCATGTAGCAAAAGAACAATTTAACAGTATAAAGCACAATCATAGGCCTTCTCTCTTTTCTCTCCTCCCTTTGTTTTGTTATTCTAAACGAGCAGATCTTATCTACCTTTTTGTTTTGGTGAAAGGCTTAAACAGATTATTACTTCTCTGAATCTGATACACAGAATAACATTACATCAGTCTGGGGCACCTAATGTTGCAATATCTGACTGCATGTGAAAACAGACCTAATTAAGAGGTCTACAATTTTGTTACTTTTCTTAAGATGAAGGAATATTTTAATGCAATCAGTAAACTAACAAAATTTGATTGCTGTAATCTGTAAATTTGGCATAATCCTTTCCAACTAAAAAAAACCCCAAAGAACCACACACAGTGGATACTTGTACCTGCTAGTGCTGATAGAAAAAATTGTGGAGTTTTTGGTTGTTGTAATACATTGTCTATCTTTAACTGGACAAACTACCTCCGCTACTTCTATTTCCCTTTCTGTGAGTTAGACATTAGATTATCAAAGGGTCTAGAATGAAAATTGAGTTTTTGTAAATACTATTGAAGATCAAAGGTATGGTCTAATTTTCAGTGTTTCATTCCAAAGTGTGTCTATAACACTATTTTTTCAATCCCATTTCTACTCATAAGATTTTGGCAGGATTGATTTATTTGATGGTTTTTTGAGTTTGTGGGGTTTTTTGTTGTTGTCATGGGGATTTTTTTGTTGGATTTTTACAAGTTTCTCATATTCATAAATTTTTTCATCTTTTTCTAGAATCATCAGGGCCAGCTGGAAATTTTTGATGAAAATGTTGCCCACATAAGTACTTGGTTGTATCAGGCTGAAGCCTTATTGGATGAAATTGAGAAGAAATCAGCTAGCCAAAAGGAGGAAACTGTGAAGGTAGGAAATGTTGAGTGATCTGTCAAAATATTAGCAGTCAACTCATGGATTCTGAATGATGTCAGATTTGCTTCCTGTTTATTTTTATATGTCTTTCTCCTTGCCTAGGAGATGACCATTTTCATTTTGTTTCACTTCTTAGCGTTTAACATCTGAGCTAGATGATGTCAGTCTCCGAGTGGATAACGTCCGTGACCAGGCTGTCATCTTAATGAACGGTCGGGGCGTGTCGTGCCGGGAACTTGTTGAACCCAAACTGGCAGAACTCAACCGTAATTTTGAGAAGGTCTCTCAGCACATCAAAAGTGCCAAGGTGAGGATGAATGAGCCCCGGAACTTGCTTGGGAGGTCAAGAAGATGGCAACTGGCTGTAGTGGATAGGTCACTGTTTATTAGAGCAGCACTTTGTTGCTTTTGAGTTCTCTTTTAAGTGTAGGTATTTGTATGTGAAAAATAGACTGATTTTTAGACCAGCTGCTTTTTTTACCTGAGTAGCAGGTGATGACTTGTGTTTCATGGGAAAACTTAGAAACAACTGTTCAGAAAATTGGATATATTGCCGTACATATTTGTGAGCTACAAAACAATACCATAAGCTAATGTGGTGGGAGATGTTTCATTTATTTTGAGAACTAAAATGAGTTTAAATGTAGAAACTTGGTAATAACTACCAAGTGTGTTCAAGCTATCTCTCAGATCATATAACTCAAATTTTTTATTTATGCTGATATCTAATAGTCCTGCAGACTGATATACCTGTTCATGGGGGATTGTATGGGACAGCTCAGACTAAATGTTCAGCTTGACCAAGGTTTTATTTTGCTTTGCAGATGCTTATTGGACAAGAACGACTTCCTGCCATGTCAGAGCCCCGTGAAGCTAGAGTGGCTTTTCTAGACCTGGACAAATTTGAGAGTGACATACAGAATATGTTAAAAGTTGTGGAAAAGCACCTGGAGTTGAATGGGGAAGATGAAAAGGTTTGTGAGCAATGTAAAAAATAAATAATTAAATAAATAACATCCCATTTTGTCCCCATGTTCCATTGCTCCAGACTTTAAGGGGGAATTCTGATGAAATGTCTTAAGGGTAGAAAAGGAAGGGAACTATTAGATTGTTGGATACCCTCCACAATTTTCCAATACTTTTCCCATAGCTATTGCCTCTTGGCTGCTGGGCTGAGTGTAACTAATCATACTTGAGTTGGTATTTTCATCACAATTTTATAGAATACAACTAGTGAACTGTGATTTTTGTTTATCTATCTTCTGTCTCCTACTCAAAGTAGTTCTTTGTAAGAAATCCCTCCTGTATTTGAATGATGTTTGAATGAGGTTCAAATTTAAACTGGTATGATAAAATGAATCACAGTGCATAGGCCAGGTCAGAGGATGTTTGAGGTAAGGTGCAAATAAGAGTCTTGTCATGTGGCTCTATCATGGAAGTCCAAATAAAAGCTTTGAACAAAATATATTTTCTAGATTCTTATCTAGATTCTGTTATTCACCCATATAAAAGTGCCATAGTTTTGTTAGCATCTTGTCCACTATGGCCTTGTTGCCTACAAAATCAGGTAAATTCCTGTCAGGCCACTCTATCTGCCTTCTTTTTAAGCAGCTCAGGTACTCTAAACTGAGCTGGAAAGCTGGATATAAGTCTATGGAAAATGCCATTTATATTAGAGAACACAAATTTAAATGATTTCTGTAGAAGGGCCTATTGTTATAGAACATAGCCTTCCTTTTATACTATTTTTATATTTATTGAATTTTTATTTTTGTGCTGTTCTGCTCTGAGCTTACTTATTATTGTCAAGGAATGTCTAGAATAGAAATGGAGCTGAAGTCATAATACCCTGGTGATGTGAATGCATACTGGTGGCTCATTAAATTTCTTTCAGTACATCTCTTTATGAAGTTTATGGAAAGTTGGATTTTATGATTTGGTAGTTGTTGAGGAGAATCTCTGCTTGAATTTGTTTGGCTCCCATTTGGACTATAAGACAAAAGTTTGGTACAATTGCTGTTAATATCTGAGCAGCTAATATTTCTAAAATTAATTTCTGTAGATAATAGAGATTTGTGTAATTTTAGCTGGATCAAGAAAGAGCTCAGATTGAAGAGGTTTTACAGAGAGGAGGGCAATTGCTCCAGCAGCCTATGGAGGAGCATAGGAGAGAGAAGATCCGCCTACAGTTGTTGCTTCTGCAGAAAAAGTACAACAGTTTGCAGGTAAGGTTATGGTAGTTACTACAGTTCATTTATCAATTTTCCCTTTGGTATCCCACTTACAATCTGTAATCCATATTTTATAACTTATGACTCTTTCAGCATATGCAATTCTCTGGGAAAGAGTTAAATGTATGTGCACACAGTCTGAGTCTCTGAATCTTTGCAATTCCAAAATATGAATTTTCCCACTTCTAGGTTTTGGGGGAGCGGTTTTGATTTTTAAAGTCCTTTCCGCAGCTTCACAGAGGGCCACCCTGTGTATCAAACCATATAGATGGGTGCATTGAGTTAGGCATTTGCTTCACCTGTCTTTGCTGGCCCTTGAACAGAGGTTTATCTCCACCACCAGGCTGTGTGAATAGTGACTGCATATACACATGTACACAAACATGCCAGCCTCTCAGCATAAGCCCTTTCTGTGACTGAGCCTGCTCCCAAATTCCTCTTCCTTGCTATAGAGGGTATTAGTAGTGTCTGCAACATGTTGTGGTGCTTGCACTGTTTTGAAAATGGGTTTGTCCAGAACAAGGATGCTCCTTTTAGCTCACCTGTTTGAATCATGCCAGAGTTGGCAAGCTGAGGTGTAGTTCAAAGGTGCAGGGCAAGACTGTCAGGCAGGCTTTGATTACATGTCTATGCAGATAAAGAGAATATAGCTATTACAAAAATAAATTACTAGTAGTGCATATTTTGGAATTTGCTCCTTCAAATGAATCCCTCAAGTGTTTTTGTTTTTCAAATAAATAAGACCTGTTCTCTTCACTACTTCCCTCTTTTTATACCATATTTTCCTAATGCACTGGATTGTAGGAGTGCAGGTCATTTCAAAGGAGGCAGGCGGTGGAACTCTCTCCAGTATTTTCCCAGTATAAGAAGGAACATGATAGTCTAATGAAGTGGCTGAATGAGGCTGAGGACCGTCTGTCAGGGCTGCAAGGTGTGGAGGATGAACAAAAACTACAGGTAAATGAGGCTTCCGTTTCTTAGAACAAACAGTTAATGGTGTGTATGAACTTTGGAGATTCATACACTAGAGTTTAATCTAGTCTAGTAATCTTCTTTGGACACCTCTGTGGAAAGAAGTGTTTCAAAATGATAGCATTCATTTTTTGTTAGGAAATTATCAACATATGCTAGTTTGGGATTTCTACATAGTCATCATAGGTCCAAAAGATCTCGTCCTTCAGACACTAATCTTAGACTGTGATCTGGGCAGTGGGCCTGATTCAGAGAAGTTTGTCTTGCCAGTCTTGATCCATGAGGATTGCACTTAACCCTTTTTAGTAACTCTTACCTCAAACAGCCAGATTTATTATCAGTTTGGTGTAGGTATGATAAAAGCCTTGTTTGAGGTTTAAATCCAGTGCCTCTGCATCCTGTGGTCAGGGTATTGTAACTACTCTGCTGTCTTTTCCTGCCTCAAGTGCTTAGAGAGGGATAACTGCACTTGTGTAATGGATATTACTGTACCCAATGTTTATTAATAAAACACACAAAGGTTGAAGTATTTCTAATAATTTGTGCATGGGTCTTGACAAACAACTTTGCAACTGATATGATGTCAGGGTCTGATAAAATTTACTGCCCAGAAAGTTGTATGTCTTAATTGTTGAAGACACAGAATTTTTTGATTGCTTTTGTTGTGGCTTTGTGGATATTTTTTTGTTGGTGTTTTTTAAATCTCTTTTATTTCTCCTCTCCATCCTTAAAAACACTTGTTTTTGTGGTAATTACATTAATATTTTAGGCAATAACAGTGAAGAACCTTGTGAAGCAGTAAGTAATGTCTTCAACAAGCTTGAGGGCTGGGTCCATCTGTCAAGGACTTATAAATTTCTTTATATAAGTGTTCATAATTGACATCTACCAATCTTTTTGACTGCTTTGTAACTTTTTAACCCAGAACCAATAAACTCGGAAGCATGGGTAACACGCGCTGGCTCCCTGTGAGACTCTCAGCATAAAATCATGATGTGGTACTCTTTGTTCACAGCTGTGTGCTGTGTGGCTTCAGCTGCAGGTGATAGATGTCTGCTGTCCTTTGTCACACAGTCCATTCGGTACCAACTTTTAGATCATCTTTTGATGGTCTTTTAGATCATCATTTCACATTATAAAGTTCCCATGAAGAGCTGGGCAGCAAAGAGGGCCAGGGTCTGTAGAAGAGTCTGACGTCTGACTGCTCTGTTGGGTCTCCATTAATCTCTTCTGGTGGCATAAGCCTGGGGACCTGACTGATGCCATGGAATTTTTTTGAAGGGAATGGGGATCCATGTGTATTTAAAGTAAAACAACATTATTCAGTTTTTCTGTTTGACCATCAGATGCATTGAATGAATAAATTACTGGACAAATGGAAAAATGGTGCACCTGCATGGCTCTTTGCTAATGGGGCCAGGCCAGTCATGCCTTAGATGGGGTCTCCTTGTCACTGTTGATAACACTACAGCTTGACTGAGCTTCTCTAAGGAAGGTACTTTGTTTCCTGTAAAGCCCATTTCTTAAAGGAATATACTGCAGCTAATCCCTGCTACTGCTAGATCCATTCCTGGATAGGTGAATCTGGTTCCTGAATGCAGAATTTCATGTCAATATGGATTACCGTAGCAATTAAAATAGGCTGTTGATGGAGAAACATTCTGCTTGCTCAGGTCAGCTAGACTGTCAGAAAAGGACCACAGAAGTTTTCATTACTGGTGTGAAACTTGGAAATTCCAACTGCTGCTTTTGCTTTGTGTGCCTGTGAATTTCTGATATTTGAGTGCTAAGGCAGCTTGTCTCAAGTGGCTTTATTTTACTTTTATGGCTTGTACTTTCACTGGCTCTACTACTCAATCTTGAACACTGAAAATGGTATGAGACCATAACATTGCTAAAGGGAGAAATATTCTCCCCAAATATCATTATTTTAGATAATCACTGTTGCTCCAGAATTTTCTTGGAGCCACCAGACTTGAAAATTGCAGTGCTTGTTGCTCATTGTAGCCTAGGACTGAGAAGCACTAAATGAATTCTTGGCCTGCTGGGTTGCAGGTGGCTTAAGCGCTCACCTTGATGTAAGGAAACTGCAGTGAGCAGAGAAAGACAAACTACTGTTTGATGTCAGCAAAACAGGGAGGGAAAGGAAGATTTCAGCTGCTGAGCTGGGGAGTAGACTTCAATTGTGCTTTTATGAAATACATTATTTATGCTTTTGTAAGCAAGTGTGGAGGAGAGGACTTATTTATGGTGCCTGAAGGTCATATCTATATATTGATTTGCTGAAAGTAGCTGGATCATAAATATTCCTCATCATTTATGCTTTTAGGGATTATGGAGTTAAAATATCTTTGAAATGTTGGTAACCCTTCTGCATCGTAGGTACTTTTGAGTAAGGCTTGTTTTGCCACAGTTCCATTAGCAAGAAAAGCCTGTACTGGAAATCTGCATCTCCTAGAGGTCCTTTTCTAGCAGTGCTGTCGTATTCATTTAAATTGGACTACTGTGCCTTTGTTCAAAATGAGAGAAAGGAAAGAATGAAACCTTAAATTGCAGAGGTAATTAATTGCCTAAATTCCTAAGAGATTTGTCTAGGTTTTAGGAAGTTGTTTTAAACGAAAATGGTAATTTTGCAGATGGAAAATATTGGTAATTTTGCAACTGCAGTGAATATTCAATTGCAAGAACAGTGCATTTTTTTCCCTATAAAACGAAGTATTATTTCTGTAATAAAGAAAATGTATTTGTTTTTCTAGTATACTTTTTATAGGAAAGTCTCTGGATTACTTAAATATGAACTTAAATATTACTTAAATATGTTTGCTGATTGCTTTAATTAAGTAGATATGAGCTTTGGGAAACCTTTTTTTTAGAAAACTGGCTCTGAAATATCTTCAGATTTAAAAACTGGTTTATATAGCTAAACATCCAAGGAGGTAAATGATTTAATTTCATGTCAATGTCTAGCGGAGTAGTTTCCAAAATCCACTTGGAAGCAAGTTAGAAAATCTTATTGAGTCAAATTATTGGTAGATTTTGTTTCAAAATATATTTAAGTGTAAAAGGAGAGATGGAAAAAAAATTCTGAAACTGAATTCTGAATTGCAGGTTAAACTGTATGCTGAGTATAGGAGGAAATAAATTTTTATTTGACCTCCAAGTTAAAAGCATTTTTAGCCATTCTTATTGAGTAGCCTTATTTATAGAATGTTCAGTAATAACCAAGTATTCTCCTTATTCCTCCAATCCTTTGTTTTTGCTAATATTTAAAGAGTGCAAATTTATTAAGCGTGCTCTATCAACACTGAAATTAAAGTAGAAAAGGACTATTAAGTTATCCAGTCAGATTTCCTCTTAAATAACCACAGATTGAATTTTATTTGTGTATGCTCTAAGAAAAATTGTGGGAGGACTGAAGCACTGCTCCTGTAAAGACAGACAGAGGTCTTTTAACCTGGAGAAGGGAGAGCTCTGGGGAAAAGAGCTACAGGAAAGCTGGAGGGGACTTTTTACAAAGGCATGGAGGAATAAAACAAGGGGCAATGGATTTAATCTGTTAAAGGGTAGGTTTAGATTAGACATTAGGAAGAAATTCTTCACTGTGTGGGTGATGAGGCACAGGAGCAGGTTCCCCAGAGAAGCTGTGGATTCTGTATCCCTGGAAGTGTTGTAGTGTGGGTTTGATGAGGCTTTGTGCAACCTGATGTAGTGGAAGTTGTCCCTGCCCATGGCAGAGGGGCTGTAATGAGATGATCTTTAAGGTCCCTTTCCAACCTAAACCATTCAGATTATGTGAAACAGTTGCTTACTTGTGTGTTTTTTTTTTTTTTTTTCATTAAAAAAACCCAGAGTCAAGCAACCAAAACCAACTTCTGTGTAATTTAGGTATTTATCAGGTAACTGTGAGAGAGTTGCATAAAACTCCACTTCTATTTTTTAGCATATTATGCTGCATTATAGAAGCTTCCAGTCTGCAGTGCAAGGTAGAGAATAGCTGAACAATTAAAACTCTGCTGTACTGAAGCACTAATGTGTTTATGGCACTTACATATGTTCACCTTTAAGAGCGAGGGTAGTGAGAGGAGGAAGCATCATCTCAGTGATATGAGGCAGCTGGAGGAGATTAGCAAGGAGGTATACTCTGGAGCAGCAGCATTAGGAAGAATTCACTGCTTAGCAGAAGAGAGTAATTTGGCCCAGGATAGTGTTACTGGGAAAGCAGAAACTTTCAGAACATTTAAATGCACAAGTACAGAATGAGTTTGCTGCATGCCAACACGTGCTATTTTAAATCGTGTGCAAGATTTTTCTAATGAGAGACAAAGCAGTGTGTGGGGAGTGGAAACAGTAAAGCCCAGTGACTGATTCATGTGTGTGAAGTCTTGATTCTGAATCTTGTCACCTGTGTGAGAATGGGACTTCTGAAATGATTGGGAGCTACAGAAAACACCTTGGGAAGATGTTGCAGATGGCTGTGCTGTAGAAGGCATCCTGGTGTTTTTTCTTAGCTTGACATGTTTCATACTGTTAGGGAAAACATTGAGTTGCACAGACTGATTTCTTAGGAACTGGGGCCCTCTCCTTCCACAGGAAACCATACCACTGTCTAAGCCTTTGGCTTTTGCTCTGAATTTCATTCATGGAAGCTGATAAAATATATGCAGAGCCTCAAGAAAATGCATTTGGGGAGCATCAGGGACCAAGATGCTGAGTTTGTAGCTAAAGCTTATGGAGTAAGCCTTATTTTTAACTGTGGTGCTTGCTTGCTGTACTGAATCAAAAGCAGTACTGAGTAGTTTGTGATGCTTTTCTGTAATTCTTGTTTTTGCTAGACTTGTGCTGCTATGCCCTTGCATGCTGTTTCTTTGCAATGAATATGCAAATGGTATGCAATGAATGACTAAGAGCAAATTGTATCTGTTGGTAAAGGTCTTGTGGAAGCAAAGCCGTGTCCCCAGTTTTAGAACAGGATGACTGTCTGCTTCACAAACAAAACAACCCAAACCAACACAAAACAAAGAAAATTCTTAGGAATATTTAATGCGTGTGAAGTCCTGAATTGTGAATATGTGAACATATATTTTCTGCTGCAGTCCTTGCTTCATTTGCACTACATGTGCTGGTTATGTTATGTTCCTGTTAATTTGAGTGACATATTTGAAATTCTCAGAAACATGTGAAGAAGGAAGATACAGACAGGTGTTTGCAAGCCACTTGGTTAGTGGGACTTTACTATTTTATTTGTTGTCAGCTGTGCTAGAGATTTTCATGTGTGTACCCAGCCTAGACAAATTGCAAAGTAAAATTCACCAGCTGAAATTGCTGTGAGCATACATTTATTCTTCACTCTTTAGAGTGTTCTTAGCTGTTAGTAAATCCCACTGGCCTGTGTCTCTGTCTTGCTTGACTCACTCACCAAGTGCAACATGGTGATTTAAAGTTGCTTGAGTTCTTCAATATTTGGAAGTGGGCTTTCTTTTATTTGATAATTTGAAAGAACTAGGCTGTTTTCAGAGATGGTAACAGAATCCTGTTTGACAAGAAACATTTTCTGCTAAAAATGTTTTTTGTCAGTCTGCTTCACCTGCATCTGCTAATTTTTTGCCAGGTATGGCAGACAGATAGTTTCCTGTAGCAATCTTCCCATGGTTTCAGATCCAGCCCACTATTAGTGACCCAAGAAAAAGCTGCATTAAATGACTGTTGTTACTCTCTTATCTGCTAACATGGTACTTGACTAGATAGCCAGTCTTGCAGCCAGAGCAGAAAACAATTTTCAGGCTCTGGAGGAGTTACTGTCTTTTATTGCTGCAAAATATTGGAGCACTGGTGGGGCACTAATTTATTTTTAAAAATTGTTAGAAAATGTGGGTGGGAATGCATATTGAAAACAATATGGATGGGAAATAAGTGTTTCACTGAATTGGTATGTTGGTGATGAAGGAAGCAGAGTGGATTGTGACACTAGATACAGGCTCAATCAAGAAGTGTTATTTCAGAAAATGGTAAGGATCAAGTTAAGAGAAACAGTTACCTTTCCCATTGCTTGGAGTTTTAATCAAGAATAATACAGAGTCATTTTGAGGCATGATATAAACGGTTTTCTAACTTTTAAAATAAATAAGCTGTTCTGTGCAGGACCTGCAGCTTTCTGAATTCATGTAATCTTGCTAGGAAGTCCTTTGTTTTCTTTACTAATATAGAAAAGTAATTATTTTGAGTATAGTTTATTGATTTAGGATCTTTTCATAAAATTGATTGTTGCTTGAATGATAAAATGAATTTTCATGTTTTCAGGCAATCCCTGTCCAGCAGAAGTTAAAAGGCCAATTTGCTACAGGAGTTAGGACCTTGCCTTTTTCAGCTGAGTACTTGGTTGAAATCAACAAAGTTTTGCTGGCCATGGCTGATGTTGAACTGTTGCTGAATGCACCAGAGCTGAATACTGGCATCTATGAGGATTTTTCAGCTCAGGAAGATGCACTGAAGGTACTGCCTAAGCATTATATTCAGAGTGGAGAAGGGACCAGCAGAAGAAAGGCCACCACCTTAACAACTCTATTACTACATTTATGGTTGTGCTTGGTATATACAGGATCAATATGCACTGAAAACTAAGAAATGACAGTTCTGTTAGCTAATTTTTTTTCTATGCATAATCTGGATACAAAGTGTAGCAGCATGAAAACTTATTGTCAGCCAGTGGATTTACCTGTGTGATTTATAGTGAGGAAATTGTTGAGGACTTCGCCTTTTTCAAAAGGAGATGAAGAAATTATGCTTGAAAATACTGAATCCTGCTGTCAAATATGAGCTGAGTGTGGAGAAGTCTGAGCCCTGGTTAATTCTTAGCATATAAAAGAGTGTGAAACAGATTCCCTTAGAAAACATCAATTGGAATTGGGAATTACACATGGCATGGTGCAGCGTAGGTGTACCTCTCTGGATTGGGAATCATAGCAGGGTCCATGTGTCATATCTGAGGTGTAGTCAGGCTCTGCCTCTCACCAAGAGCTAGATTAGCTGTTTCTGCAGCTGCTATGTAGGTCCTTAAAAGCTTTGCAAATTCCAGTCCACTTTTCTGACTTGCTTTTCTTTCTGCTGTGTACGTGCTTCCATTTCTCATGTTATTTTATAAAAGCAAATATGGGAATGGTGCCAGCCTTTGACAAAGGGGGCAGCCTTTGTTTTGTTGATGAAATTCTCTTACCCCTGCTTACTCTGCTTCTGTGCTGCCTGGAGTGCAATTAGGAGTGGTTATGTTTAAACAGGATTAAAATACTTCATTTTGGTGCAGGTGTCTCATCTGATTTTAAGTTTTGGTATAGTCTAAGGATGTTTTCAGAAAAAGCAAATAGCAGAGCATAGAATTTTTAGAAGCATTACTGTTTTAAATTCAAAAGATAAGTAAATTCCACTGTCTGCATGGACTGTTTGTCTTCCGAATACCAAGGCAGTCTTACAACAGTATCTGGTTTAAAGGAATTTTCACATCATAGTTCAGTGGTATTTGAAATTGATTACTTTAACTGTCATTTAAATGTGAAACCTTTATGCAGCCTTATGCTTTTGCAGTTCTGTGCATATGGGAGGTTACATGAAGCATGGTGAAGTTGCATTTTGCGGTCCATTTTATACATGAGGAAAGAGTATGTATAGTGACATGGGCAGATTTGTTCGATAGTGAAGCTAGTGTTGTTTTGAGAAGTATGTGCCCTTTACCTTAGGAACAAATTAGATATATATGAATTATTACATCCTTTTCATAAATACCTGAAAAGGACACAGGCTTAAAGGGTATGAAGATCTATTCAGTTCATTTGCTAAAACTGATTTAAACTGTAAATGTTATTGCTATTACTGGTGGTCATGGTCTTACTGTAGATGCTGATTTTTGGAAAAGAATTTTGAAAATATTGTGTTTTGGTATTTTTCTTTTATTTCCTGCTGGTGTTGACTATACTAATGGCTTGTGCCATTACTGTACTTGCAGAACATAAAAGATATTTTGGATAAACTTGGGGATCAAATTGCAGTAATACATGAAAAGCAGCCTGATGTTATATTGGAAGCATCTGGACCTGAGGCAATACAAATAGGAGATGCACTAACGCAGCTGAATGCAGAATGGGACAGAATTAATAGAATGTACAATGATCGTAAGTGGTAAGTCAAGCATGATTGGTCTCTGTGGCCGTGTGATAAATACTTTATGTACATGTTTATATAAGTGTTTTTCAAATGTACCTTAATGATGATGAGTTTGGGAGTTATCAGCTTTTATTTGTTGGTATTACAAAATAATTTCCAGAATTATTGAATTTTGAAACTGTTAACACGGAAATTGAAGTTTGGCTGCTTTTATGAGGGTCATTGTTTCTGAAATAGAAGGTCTTGTTTATAGAACATAAAATTTTGGTTTTGTAAAGGCATCACAAAGCAAAGTTCTAGAAGAATAATTTTGAGTAGGACATCTTTTAGTGAAGAATTCAAGGCTGATTTTTTTTTTTTTGTTCTTTGAAGGAAGGATGCAGTTTGAAAGAATGGGGTCTTTAAAATACAGCACCTATGACAGTTGTCAATAATTTTTGTTTTAAGTACTTGAAGATGAGAGACAACATGATTAGAAAACTTTGTTGTTAGGAAAACAAGAGAATACTAAAATAAGTGCTTAAGAAATACATATTTCTAATTTCCTTGCCACAAATAGGTGTAATTTCACTTGGGCAAAAAGTTTGATTTCTCCCCACCCCTTACAGAAGAGACATTAAACTTTTTACATTATCTGAATCAGTTTTAAGTCTTTGAAAACAAACTCAATACCACTTAGTGATTCTTGGGAAAGTGTTTTAGAGGAGTATTTTAAATTTGAATTTGTAAAAGTGTCAAAGTACATGTTCGGAAAGTTACCACTAAGCTGAAGGTGCTCACACTGCGAGCAGCAGTGCACACGGAGATTGCTGCTATGCAAAAAACCCCTTAATGACTGAAAATTATTTAATGAAATTTAAAATTAAATGCAAAGGCTTACACTGTAGTTCATTTGCTTTTACAGTATTTCCTTTTTAATGATGATGTAAGGTAATGAATGATGCAGAAGTTTGGTAGAGCATAAAGTATGCCTTACCATGTTTACTTGTTTTGTAGCACCAGAAATCTGATACCAAACTCATGTGGTAGTGTATTTTGAAGAGATGATTCTAGGAAGAGTGTGTATTATATAAGAAGATGTTTCCAACTCTTTCTCAGAGCACTGATAAATGTGTAGGGACATAAAAATCAGTTGGTGGTATCATCTAAATAGAGACTTCCAGAAATTCTGGGCCCCTGGATGAGTGAAGGATCAAGATTCTAATAACTCGGCAGGCAAGTTGTTTCACTGTGGGTTCTTAATTTAGAAAACAGTGATGCCAGCTATGTAGAACTTTGTGCTCTTGCTGGGTGCTCGTGGTCACCTGCTCAATTTGGAGACAGCTGCTCCTGAATCTGATGCCCATCCATATTTATATGCCTGCAGCTATTTTATTGTCCTCCTAGATATTGTATGTACTAAGCTTTAGTTATGCCTTTTTTTCCACTTGTAACTTGAAAAACTTTAACTAATGTTAACATTTTGTAAGTATGAGTACAATTGAATTTACTACTCAAATTTGCTTTGATTAAGTAGCCAGGGCTAACCAGAAACCTAGTCTTCTTATTGAATAAGGTGAGTCAAAGAGTTAGTTCAATGTTTATGAAGAAGTGGAAAAAAGCAACAGATTGTCTCTTCAGTCACTTTGCTGATACAAATTAATCTTGACCTTCATAAAGTTTGTAAAGATCTGCATATTAATGAGAATAATATTGGGTTTCATTTTCATACAAAAAGGGACTACTGGACTACTACTTTAGATAAATGATATATAGCTTCTTGAATATATGAAATGCTGCAATTTTAATAGAGGCGTGCTCTTTAATCACTGAAGACATTATTAATTGCAATATGAAAATGGCATTAGTATTTTTAAACCCTTTCTGTTACAAAGAAGAATTCTTAGTCAAGTTTAATCTTGCTTTTCCCAGTGTTGCACTAAGTATAAGCTGGATGACTATCTCCTTAATCATCTTTGGCTTTTTTCTGTTTCTGGAGTGGGTGGAAATTTTGACAAAATTAGACAAAGCAGCATCTGAAGCCTCTGGCAAAAAAATGGGTTTCGTTTTCAGGGGTAGTAAAGATTTTGTGATTGAATATCAGCTAAGTAGTTAAACCTTTGGTAAATGCTCTGATGAAGCCAAAAACAAGTTTAAATCAACTTAGCAAAGCTTCTAAGTAGTCACCCGAATCCAGCTGACTATATTTGCATTTGAATGTGTAGAGTAAAATGTGTGTGTTTTGTATGTGTATATATAGACTTAATGTTTTGGACTGTTCGTAATTGTGCTGGTTTTCTAGGTCTGCTCATTTTGCTGTGGGTTTTCTCCAAGTGTTGATGACTTGGGAATGAGATGTGGTTTGGAAACAGTGGATTCCTGCAGAGGAGGCAAATGATAGCTAAGTTTTGGTGCAATAGTCACAGGAATTTGGTGCTTTAACTTTCAGATGAGCAGTCTGTTGGGAAGCAGCAGCACATGCATCTGACTCAAAACTGGAGTGAAACTTTGCTCATTGCTTAAAATACTGATGGAGTTGTAGTCTCACATCAGAAATGGCACAAGTTAAAACTTTGTATCTCAGTGTTCTCTGAAGTTTTAAAAGTTTGTATTCTGAAAAAGTCATGTGGCCAAAACTCCCTCAAAAACTGTAATTTTTAAGGAAGCCTATAAAACCTTCTTTTAATCTATTTTAAGTGCTTAGAATGTATCTTTTCATTAAATGTGGAATGAGTTACACTCATGAGACAATATGCTTAGACTGAAATGTATATGAGAAATAAAGGAACATTGAGATTTGGGGTCAGTGTGCAGGTTGATCTGGGGTATTAAATCAAGGTATGTCCTGAAACTGAAATGGTAGAACTAAGAGAGAAGGTTAGAAAAAATAAAATGGAGATTTTTAAGACTTAAGTCTTAAATTTTTAAGACTTCTTTTTTAAGACTTGTTAAGACTTATTTTTAAGACTTGTTACTTGGCTAATAATAATAACAACAAATAAGCCCTGTAGATATCAAGAAATATTGATATTTTGTAAAAGGAATTTTAATTTTGATGAAATTAATCTCACTAAGAACTCTGGGATTGTTGACTTTAAATAATGAAAAAACACTTGCAATGGTAGCTCTTTAAAGTTTGGTTTTAGATATCTTTGTTATGGTGCTAATTTCAGATTGTATCTATATATGTGCAATAACCCTGGAGTCTTTACTGTTGCAATCATTTGCAATTGTTTGCAATTGTTTGCAATAATGGGCTGCAAATGACATAGCTCCTCAGTCAAAATAGAGGTCCTCTGATTAACAGTAGTCTTGGCCTCTTAGGTCTTTAGAGATGACTGTTTTTATTAGTTTGGAGTAGTTAATAATCAGCAAATAGAAAACAAGCCACTCCATTCCTTTCTGACATGTTTTTCTCATGCTCTCGCTTTGTTGTCTTGTTAACATAACAGAACTCTCATTTTATTAAAAAACAGATTTCTCACTGTGGTTGTTCTGTCTGTTCCATGCAAGAACATGTTGCCCTTCAAATTAAGCAACACATTATTTGAGGCTGCAAAGATGATGACAATGAAGTATCTGGTAAATTATTGTGTGATTAAATTCTATAAGACCTACTTATGAGTGCTCACTGGTAATACTATATAATCAAATATATAATCTATATAATCAAAATCACCTTCACTTAATAAATTCTAGGCACCAGCACCCCATTTTCTCCTTATGAAGGAGAAAAAAAAACAGTGAGTAATTAATCATATTTCATATTTCACACTGTCTAATAGCTGAATTGTTTCATGATAAAGGAGGAAAGGGTTCTGCAGACCAATTTGATGTAGCTAATCAATCTTTATTTTTTAAGTGATAGAACAAGTTTGCTGAGGACTGCCCTTTCTTCCTTCAGCTGGAAGTTAATAACAGTCTGTGCTGTTGGCTTTCACCAGCTGCCACCGTGCCAGGAAGCCTTCAGTACCAGGACTTGGTTAACCAGGCTGTGTGCTATTCTTTCTGTTCTGCAAGGCAAATTTCTACTCACTGGAGTGGGATTCCTAGCCTTCTAACTGCTATTTTGGGTAATTTTTCAATGCTTTGTTTTCCCCCAGTTGCTTTGATAGAGCGATTGAGGCGTGGAGGCAGTTCCACTGCGATCTCAACGATCTCTCGCACTGGATAGCGGAGGCTGAAGTGTTACTGGCCGATGCGCATGGGCCAGATGGCAGCCTGGAGCTGCAGGCAGCTGGGCTGCATCAGCAGGTATGTGGGATTGGGGCAGAAAATGAGCAAGCTGGAAACAGCCTCAATTTTCATCTAAAATTGTAAGTTTATAGATAGACATATGGATTTGCAGAGAGGCTGTGCAATTGCACTTCAAAAAGCAGTAACTCTTAACATTTCTATTTTGACTGCAGTTAAAAATTTATTCTTGGGGAAGAACTCAACTCCTACTTACAGGATGGGGTTATATGATCACTCTTAGCATGGATTGGTTTGAGATAATTTGATAATTCAAATGTTGGCATAATTTTTCAGTTTATAAGTTTTGTTACAGCTTCAAAAATATGTGAATCAGACAAAAAATCCAGTATATTATTTCATTTACTTTTGACTCATAATTTTTTAAAAAATGGACACCAATAAAGGTCATTTATAACTTAGCAAATTTTTTATTTAAACAAATGTCTTTTGGAGATACTGCCTTGTATAAACAATCTAGAAAAAGAGAAGATTCCAAATACAGGGGTCTTACGTTTAATTTTTTTTCAGATTTTGGTTCTGGAATTTAGTTCCCTGATGTTTTTTTTTTTTTTGTTTACTTCCTTTTAAATAAGAAGAAGAAAGCATAACTTTAAGGATCAGATTTTTTTTTTTTCTTTTGAGAGTATTAGTTATCCAAGTGTCAGATGTGTGTTGTGAAAGAAATCTAAGACACATCTTCCATTTTATCCTTGTTGCTCCTTGAAGTTTTCTTCTAGGGCATTTCAGTTCTCTTTATTGAATCATCTTATTTCTAATCAAGTTGCAAAGAAATTTTTGCTAACAGTGTAAAACTTTTGTAGTCATTAGGAATGTTTGAAGATTTAATCCTGACATCTGATTTTCTTTAGCTTCATGAATTTTCCATGGTGTCTGGGACCATGGCAGCACTGCCATAATTATACTAGCTAAAATATTCTGAAAGTAAAGAAATATTTGGGGTACAGATTATGAAAAGACATGGTTAAAAGTCAAACCATCTGTTAGAACCACTAGGAAATGCTCTACATGAAAAGAAAAGGAATCAAAGATGAGTGTAGATTTTAGCGCTGGTGGCTTAAATGAATTCTTGTGATTCTTTGTAGTATTCATAGCCTCTTCTGTATCACTGTCTTCTCATGACACCTAGAAATTTGAATTACATTCAGTAAAAGAACATTAATAACTTTGTCAACAGCATCCATTTCTAAGTAAGATGGTTTTAAGTGCCTCTTGTTGTAAAATAATATGCACCCAGGATTCATTCGGCATATCATGAGCCAGATCAAAGTCACTTCAGGTCAGTAATAAAATTCTGTGTGGCTTTTATGTTTGTGACAGGAACTTGAGGAGGGAGTCACTAGCCATCAGACCAGTATTTCGGCATTGAACAGAACTGGGGAAGGGATCATACAGAAACTGTCTGCTACAGATGGGAGCTTCTTACAGGAGAAACTGGCAGGATTGAATAGACGCTGGAAAGCAATCACAACAGAGGTCATGGATAGACAACAGAGGTAATAAGTTAATCAAAAATTTGGATGTCTGAACAGATGCAATAAGGAGAAATTAATTGAGTAGACACTGGTAGAGAGGGCGCATTCTGTAGCATGCTGTCATTAATCTGAATTTTCCTAATGTTTAGAGCTCTATTTTGAACTGTCTCCTAGAAGAAATTTCTCATAAATCCACCTGAAATTGACTGCTTAGTAAGTCTTTGGAACAGCTCACAAAATGACAACTACAAAACTACATTTTTATAGTTTTCCTTTGCTTTAAAAATAATATCCTTATAAAGCCAGACTTTTTTAGGAAGAATTTCTCAGCTGCTTTCTCTGGCTGAAGCTGAACTTGTAAGTATCACTAAGTTTTGTTTTATCACTGACAGAGATACACTAATTGAACCAACTAGCATAGTTCTTGAATTTTCACAATACTGTAAAGTAAGAACTTCATGTAATTTTGTGTTTTTAACATCTCCTGATACATTTAGGAGTAAAACAGGATCTTGCTTAATTATTTAGTTTGAGAAATTTCATTAAAGTTTTATGTGATTTAGTGGAAGTATTATATATGTCCCTAAAACCTCCAGGGGAAAAATTCAATGTCCTTATAATGATTAGGCCTGAACGTGTTGTCATTATTGTGACTTACATTTAATGTTTTCTGCAGTCTTTTAAAAGTCTGTTTTATTACTTTGGAACCAAAATTTGTCTATTTTTAGACAGTAGTATTTATTTGTAAATATCTTGCGTCTTAATGATGATGGTAGAATCTTTTGATGATAAAATGAATCCTTTAAAATTCTCCAAACACTGAAAAGAAGTTGACCGTGGCATCAGAAGTAATTTAAGACTGATGTGCTGGACTTCTTGTTTCACTTTTTAAGGCTAAAAGGAGAGAACCAGCAGTTGATAGAGTACAGGAAGAAGCTTGATGAGCTGCGTTGTTGGTTGGAAAATGTAGAAAATGCTCTGGACACAAGATTTGCATTCAACCATGAGGAAAACTTGCAAGAATTACAGGCAAGACTAATCAGTGTGTAAATATGTATACATCTGTATGTCTTGTGTAAAGCATCAGGACATGGCTTTTGAGAAGGGGAGTTTTCACACTGTGAACAGCCAAAGAAGTATTATGGTTGTGTGAGACTATTTTGTGAGATTACTTACACTGGCAAGGTACACCTCGAAATGAAGTTGAGTTGGTAACTGTAGCCAGAAGATGGTGTCTGTGTACGAGACAGTGACAAACAGATATACTACTGATAAAATTTAGTAAGTAGAATTTCACTGGAGATTATGTGTATTTGTCAAATTTTTAATTGCTAAAACCTATAGAAAAAAAGCTGATAACCTTAAATGGTAAGTAATACCATTGTCCCATGTACTGGGCAGTTGTAATAATCTCTTATGAGTGTAAGATTTTGTCTAACCTGTTTTTTAAACTGTAAGGGTTTTTGGCCATTTTTAGTAAGTTGTGTGCATATGTGTGCATTTTTCCTGTTTTGTGTCTGGCTTTGACAACAAAACATCTTTGGTTTGTAGAATGTGTGAAAGAAAATCTTTCTGAAATCCTAAAAGAACGAGAGGAGTAGTCAGTCCAACTAACCTGCTTGTTTATTTTTTAAAAATCAGTAAATTTTAAAAAGGCAACAAAAAAACCCCCGACAAAACCCCAACCAATCCTTTTTAGACCAAATCTAAGTGGGAAGTCTTGAATACGTGTTTATAAATTATGTAAAGTAGTTGGCAGTTGTGTTTGTCTAAACAAATTGACTCATGTCAGCTGAGTATTTCCTGCTTGTCATCAAAGTGTAATTTTTCTTGTCATCTACCTTAATGCTAGAAGTGAAAGGTAATAAATGTTCCAATAGTTTCTAGATCAAGCACAGAAACCAAAATAGAAGTTTCTCTGTGTGTGTTCGGGAAAATGCCTAATATTGGAATTAAAAGAAAGCTTTCCTCCTCCTTTAATTAAGCACGTATGCATTTTATTCCAGTCTAAAATTCTTCTGTCCGTTTTAGGTCTTAAGTGAAGAGATGGAAGTTCTTGGTGGCAAACTGGAATGGCTGAACAGAACTGAATCTGAAGTACTGTTGGATAAAAATACTGATCTTCAGGAAAAAAACAAACTTTCTGCTTGCCTGCAGTCCCTCAATGTGAGGTGGAATAAGGTGTGCATTTCTTCAGCATTGGGTACCTGAGGTTGAAAATAGAGTGGTATGCTTGGAATGGTTGTTTTCCTTTTTATGTGTCTGTCAGATGTGGCATGTGTATAAAATGATCAGGAAACCATACAGGTATGATTAGGAAATGTACCCCAAACCAGTTACACAAGAAAATACTGATGGACATTTTTCCATCAGATTGAGTTAATTTTGTTAGCTTAGGTTTTTCTGGGATATTTTGTTTGGTGGGGTTTTTTTGTTTGTTTGTTTGGTTTTTTCATTTATATTGGCTTTTTTTGAAAGTATTAACTTGAAATTGAGTGTTAGAATAAATCTTTACTGTGTAGGAAAACTGAATGCTTGTAGCAGTTAAGAGAAAAAGAAATGAAGCTGTGGTAGAGCTTAGAAAATCTTACTAATGTCTGGGATTCTTCTTAAACATTTCTGTAAGTTAGAAACTCCTGTGTTCAATCTCATTGGCAAGGTTGGTTGGAGTAAAGCAAGATTTTTTTCCAAGCAAAACCTGGAGATCCAAATGAAAAAAATTAATTATTTTAGATTACTTTATGGATGACAGAGGTAAGAATTTATTGAGGAAAGGGGCCTTTGATAGTTCAGGGTAAGAAAAAGATGTGGTTTTACCAATTCAGCCATGAAAATAGGGATTCCCCCACTGCTTTGAGCACTATATTGTCATCACTGACTTAAAAAAAACTCTTAAAGAGCATATAGGCACATTTATTTTCACTACAAAGGAGTTGTAACACTTTCTTTTGTCGGTTCCCTATTTCTCTGCTTTTGTATGACTGATCAAATCATGCTTTGCATCATCTTTTCTTCCAAGTATATTCAAATATTGAGTTACAGTTTTGGTGCTTAGACAGTAAAAACCATGTAAACGACCCATCTACAACAGTTTATTTCTTTTCAATAGTTAGGTGTGACACTGGGATGTATTGAAAGAACACTTTAGCACCTCTTGAAGTTTTTATTGTTTTTTAAAGGATACCTTAAAAAAAAAAATTGAAATATATCTGAGGCATGGTGTAGAATATTTTTGTCTTCCAATAAGAGATTACTTTTCTGCCATTAATATAGGTTGTGTTACTGTTTTTGTTTCTCTCTGCTGGGCTGTAGGTGTTCAGAGAAGTGCCGGACAAAGTGAGAGAATTGGAGGCATTTGTTGGGCAGTCCCGTTTTGTTACAAAGACAAAGCCTCCTGGTGAGTCATTGGTCATTCTGTTCTGCTTAATTGTCTTGAGTGTAATCCTCTTTGCAGTCAAAAGTAATTAAAAAAGGAAAAATACTCTATGAACTTGGACAAATAAGAAATGTTGAAGCATTGTGTTGAACTTGAGGCTGCCTTCTCATTACTATGGGGAAGAGGGAATATTTGGATAGGGAAGAAGTCACTCTGCTCTTCAGGACTGGAGTTCCTCTAAGAGTTTTGAAATGGAGAAATTTTTATAAAGCTTGGGCCTCCTCATCAGGACTAGGTATAGAGTAAAAACCAAAATAGCTGTGTTTGTGACAGCCTGTTTTCTGTGTTTTGTTTCCTGTGGATTTGTGGTCATGCCTTTGACTCATTAAGATCCACTAGAAGTTTTCCATACAGCTAATTATTTGTAAAGTATCTCTTGCATGTGGATTTTTTTGCAGTCCTGTAAAGGACATTCTTCTTCTTTTGGCTTGGTTAGGGGGACAGATGGGTCTCCCTTATCTGCTAGATACTTACCTTCCTGTATCTCTTAGAGAAAGCTGTCTAAGTATGTGTTCTTGTATCAGGCACTGATACTGGTCATATTTCCAAGTTGTTGGAGGCAATTCAGCAAATACAGATTGTAAACAAAATGCCCATGTCTCCCTTTTGGAAATTTAGGCCAAGAAGACAGCCCTTGCCTGAAAAAAAAATTGCAATCAAACCTCAGTGAATGAACTCTAGTTTGTCTTTTTTTTTTTGTTTTTAATTTCAGCATCAGTAAACAAAATTTGAGGCAAACCAGCTTCTGTTTAATCCTTTTGCAACCTTGAATTCAGCTTGTTCTCCTTTCATACAATATGTTTGTTAAACAAAACTTCTGTGTTTTGTTGTTTGAGGGAAGTGTGAAATATTCATGCTCCAGCTTGATGTAGCTTAGTGTTTCTTAGAAGTAGAACACAACTTCTGGAGTGAATCTTACTATTCATTCAGCTCATTTCTCATTTGTTGTGTAAGGTTAAAAAGAGAGAAAGATGTGACTGAACTAGTGGGCATCTGTCCCTCAGAGAGTTGTGTAATGCCATGTCCATGAAGCATCTGTTCCAGAACTTGAACTTAAATAAATTCTGAGCCGAGTGGAGAAGACCTTTCTGCTACATAGTACAAAACTGAGGAAGACAGTTTTAGATGTTTATCTTAAACAAAAATATTGGGTTTTATGCTTAATAATGGTCAATGAGTGTTTAGCTTCGTTCCATTAGGTTTAATGTAATTTTCTCTTTGCAAGTTTTCATCTTGTTTACTGTGAATTTAGGCTGAATCATTTGGGTGGGTGTTTTTGGCATGCAGCAAGAAAATAGCTGCCTTAAAGGTGCATAAGTCTCATTACTTAGCTTCTGGTTGTTAAAATACAATTTTTTGCTGTGCTTTCTCTGTAGATGCTGCTGTTGCATATTCATAGGAATTACAAAAAGCCCCCTGTAATTCTGAGAACTGCTCATGTGGCCATGACTACTTTTTCTTTAACGGTACCCTCACACTCTGTTTCAGATATCCAAAAGGTGGTGCTAGCATCTTCTTCATTGGAAATTCCTGTTCAGACTCAGCAGGCTTTGGAACTTTCTGCACCTGCTGATCTGGACAAAACTAGAACTGAGCTGGCTGACTGGTTGGTGCTGATTGACCAGATGCTCAAGTCAAACATAGTCACTGTGGGAAATAGTGAAGAGATCAATCGGACTATTGCACGAATGAAAGTATGTGCTTTTGTGAAGGCTAGTAGAAAATTGTCTCGCATTTTAATAGTTCTTACATTCACTAAAGTAACTAAAAGCAATAACATGTTTAAGGAGAAAAAAACCCTGACTGCAATTAAGTGCATAACATGAAAGTTACACTTTAAATGCTCTTATTACACTCCTTTCTCCTTCAGAGCCATTTTCTGTTTATTCTTTTGTCCCTATGTGAGCTAAATGCCATTATTTTTTTGTTTAAAACAAAGAAATTGGAGAATACCTCCTGACATATTTTGGAATTTGTAATAGTTGATTTACACGGAAGACTTTAGAGCAGCCTCATGTCTGCTTAGTGAGTGACCTTTGATTCACTCTTTACTGATTTCTAATGAGTTTTGTTTGCTGTAGTTACACTACACTGATTTCCAGAGACATGCTAAGAGGATTAAAAGTTGTAATATAAATGCTTATGATGTAAATGTTTACTTCTGTTGATAGCTCATGCTATGTTAAGCCGTGACTAAGGGCGGTCCTAGTGAGATGTATGCGGCCGTTAAGGTTCATTTTATTTGACTTAATATCAATTAGATAAGTGTAGAGTAAAAGCTGTAGGCTAAACAAGCATTAAACTGTTTCTGTGGGTATCTCACATAGCCTGGAATTTAGAAGAATAATGTGATGTAGCTTTGGAAACACTTTCTTTTAGCTGTATAATACTTGTAATATTCTGGTACATGTAGAGAGCAATGGTTTAGAGAGCAACATTATATAGTCTAATTGTTCCTTCTATTTGTTGTTCTTCACTCTCCCCCTGCACCCACTGGTGCTTCTGATATATATAAATGATCCCAGCTTGGTTAGGAGAAAAATAAGTTATGGAAACTTATTTTCATGTAAGTCTACGAAAAATAGATATTGGAAGATACTGTGCAACAGCTGTGGTAACTATGTGGTTTGTATAGGTTAACCTTCACCTCTGGATTTTCAGTAACTGCAATTTACAATATTTTAGCTTTTTAAAGCAGTGCTATAGTACTGTGACCGTTCAAGGGTTACAATAATGATGAGACCAGCTGTATAGTTGTGGAGACGTGTATTTTTTTACCTAAATAATACAGGTGAATTTAACTGTTTTCTACTTTTTGGACTTAAAAACAGATAACCAATGCAGATATGGACCATCGGCACCCTCAGCTTGATTCTGTTTTTACATTGGCTCAGAATTTGAAAAATAAAACTTCCAGTTCAGACATTAGGACAGAGATCACAGAAAAAAGTAAGTTTATCCATCCTGTGTTTGCAAATTCATTGTTTTCATGACAGTAAAAAGTCTTCATATCTTTTTCTAAAATTCTCGATTGAGCATAGCTGAAGTTGCCTTCCTTGAAAAAGAAAAGAAAACTTGGCAATTAATTGGCTTTCACTTAAACAGTCTAATGAAAATTCCTGGAACGAGAATTGCCTCTTGTTTTTTTGACTGGCTGTTTTTTCAAGTGTGAAGGTCAATAGTTTTGCTGGGATTTTGAAATATTTTGTGAAGAATTTGGGTTGCTTCACTGCCACAGACCCAGGGATAAGGATTTTATTTATTGAGAAAAGGAACTAATCATGTTTCTTTTTTTGTTGAACTCTGAGGAACTGGACAGTTAAAAACATTAATGTTTTTGACTTTAGGATGATGACTTTGTGTGTGTACTTTGACAATTGTTCACTGAGAGTAGAGATTTTAATTAACTGACACGTACTTAAAAAATTAATTTCCAATTTAAAGGTCTCCACTCCATTTGAAAATTTATTTTACTGGTACCTAAGAAATGTACAATTGTCACAATTTGAAACTAAAGGACAGTCTGTTTTTTGAAGTCTTAAGCTTTGCTCATTGCTAAGATTAGAAAATTCATGCAGCAGGGAATACCATAGTTAGAAATAAAAATGGAAAGATACATTTTTTTATGTTCTCCTCTGTAATCTAGTTTTCCTTTACTCCATCTACATTAATTTTTTTGGTGTCCATAAGACTTGATGGAGATGATGTGGTCAGATACGAAGCCCACAGATGGGTGGTTTTTCTGGGGGTCTGATGAGATGGCATCTGCTGTCTGAGGTTCACAGACTATGGACTGGTAGGGGCAGTAAGATTCAAGAAACAACTTCGTTTTGCAGTCACTCAGAACTAGGGGTGAGGTGGAAACTCAGGGCAGGATAATAACCATGGGAGTCAGTCAACAAGGGGACATGGCATCAGTCACAAAACGTTCTGGATTCTTCAGAAAAGCTGAACAAGAAGTAAAGTACTGTGTATTGGAAGTTTGAGTTCCCCTATAGTCATGCACATCCAGAGCGGGAAAAGAGAGATTGTATGTGGTACCATGGATTCAGCTTCCAGTAGATACTTTAGATGTGTGTGAAGATTTCTGCCTGTCATGAAACATGAAAATTGAAGGTTTTGTTGCGACTGACATTTGTTAAGAAAAGTTTGCTCTTTGAAGAAAAGTGATGGTCTCTGCTGCTTATGCACGTCATTGTTTAAAAACTGAGTATGTATAAAAACCGAATGTATATCAGAATGTACCAATGTCCTACAACCTTCTGGGAGTCTGCTGTGTGTCATCAGATGAAGCATAATTACTCAAATTGATAGGAACAGAGAAACAGAAAAACTTCCTTCTTTGGAACTTTCCTCCCAATTGCTTTATGGACTTGACTTTTGCTTTTTGGAATTGAAAAAACTGTCTCATCAGGAATTCTTTCTAGTCCTTCTGCCTGTGATATCAGACTGGTGCCCATGACAACTTTTTCTAGGAACTAATCTCTTGAACCCACTGCGTCCTGAGGCTGCCAGGAATGTCACTATTTTTCTGTCCTGTTTTGCTGGAGGTAGAAAAAAGGGTAAATATGTCAGTAGTGTAGAGAGTAAGGTTAATCTGTCCATTAATAAGAAAAGGTATACAAATAATGTTTGTTCTCTGCTAGTAGTACTATTATGTAAGCGTCAAATATCTGTGCTTGAAAATTAATCCACAAGCTGCCTGTGGGTTGAAATGGATCAATATATATTGCACAAATTATTAGATTTGCCTACCAGTGTGGTAGAGTGATATTTACTCCGACAGGTGGGCTTTGCTGTCGCGGTCTTTGAGAGCTTTGTGGAACTAAACAGAATATTGTTGAATGTATTAAAGTTAAGAGATTTTCTCAAGCAGATGAAGCACAATGGCTTTGTATAATTGCGAAAGGTTAAAATTAAATAAAATGTAAGCCACTTAAATGGTTTCCATTTAAGTGCAACCTTTGGCATTTTGCTTCATGGAAAATTGAAGTGACTTGAGCATCCAGTGTGTTAATTTTTTAATAAAATTTTAAATTTTTAATTACTGTTAAAATAAGTATGTTGGATGTCTTACCTACTGTGTAGTTCTTTCTGAACAGAGTAGCACAAAGCTCAAGAAATCCAGCTTAGTCTTTTTTGATTTTGCTTTTTTTACATTCTCTTTTTTAGAACGTTTTTTAATGATACAATTTGTTCCCTGTAACTGTCATGACAAAAATCTGTTTCCACTTGAAATCTGTAGATTTCAAGTAATGCACTTGCTTTAATGGTCTTGTAACTATCCAGAAAAAGATATGATGCCATGCATTTCTCTCCAAAGACAGATTCACTGCTTTTTGTGATGCACTATTTTTGTTCTAGGCTCTTATGTTGTGTTTTTCACTCCTTGTTTATTAAAGGTTAAGTGTGTTTATATATCATCTAATTAAACTATTTATTGAGAGGAGTGGAATTCCTTCCACTTGAAGGAAGTGGGGTATAACCAATAACTTCTCTCTTCTGCTGTGTAGTCTACTAAATTCTGTAGAAACCTGTGGTGGAATTAAATTGCCAAAGTAGTTTGTTACTACCTTGTAGAATGTTTCTCCATTGGCCAAAAAAATCTCTTGACCCGTAGTACGGGTGCCATGAGACAGTGGTCTGGAATGCTCAGTTTGCTTTGTACAAGCTGTCTAAACAGCATTTATTTACTTATTTATTATTTACTTATTTATTTGTACTGGTTTAAGTTACAGATGCACAAAGATGACTTGCTGGTCCAATTACCCTAAAATTGTGCTCCTTAGAGCCGTGCTGCTGACATATCTCTGCTGTACAGTTTCCTACATGTGTGTACTTTAAAAGTAATAATGACTTTGAAGTATTCCAAAAATAATGGTTGCACTTGTGTGCTGACCTGCTTAAAGAAGAGAAGGCCAAACACCTTTGCATTTTTTCATTTGCTTCTGTGACTATGTCAACTAGACAGGGAACTAAAATACTGAATATTGAGACTATTGTATTTGAGAATGTTTGATATTACTGCCTTTTGCCCTGAAAATTAAGAGGTAGTTATGGCTTCTTTTTCACTTGCTACATATTTTTCACGTTCTGTGTTTTCCTCCACAGTGGAGAAGCTGAAGAACCAGTGGGACAACACCCAGCACAGCGTGGAGGTGCGGCAGCAGCAGCTGAAGCACATGCTGGCAGACAGCCTGCAGTGGCACGACCAGAGGCAGGAGATGGAGCACCTCATGGAACAGTGTGAGATCCGTCTGCGAGTGCTCCTGCAGGCCCCAAAAGAGGTGCTTGCCAAACAGATTGCAGAGAGCAAAGTAAGACCACTTATGTTTATTTTTTCCCATACCAGATTCCTGAGTCTGTGTAATGCTACTGGCCTCAATTGATGAGTGAATGTGCAATTTAGTAGTTGTACTATTTTCTGTCTCTTTTTGGGCATGATATTTTAATTGTCTGTGTTTTTCAGTATATCAAGCTTCCCAAGAATCCCATTCTGGGAGGTAAACAGGTGGCATGTATGCCTTTTAAAGCTTAGCTGAAATTAGTATACTTTAACATCAAAGAAATTCTATTACGCAAGAAGCTTGAACCCCAGGCCAATTAAAATTTAATGATACTGCTACAGAATTGACTTCATAGAAATGTTTAACGGTAGCTTAGTAAGTCAAGGAATGGACTAAGGTATTTACAATTGTCCTGAATTTCACTTCTGGTGGGCGCCAGGCATATCCAGTGCTTTTTTTTTTTTTTTTTTTTTTTTTTTTTTTTTTTTTTTTTTTTTTGGGGGCGCGGCATATCCCCTTGTTTTTTTTTTTTTTTTTTTTTTTTTTTTTTTTTTTTGATTCCATGCAGTCTTTGATGCTTTTTATGTCATATCAAGCGTGCTGTGATAAATCTGTAAGTCTAGTGTCCTTTTTCCTGGTGGCTGTCAGAAAAAGGCTGGGCTGTAGGTGGCACAGTATGAGAGCTAAAGACACAAAGCAGTGAGGAGAGGCTCTTGCAAGTGCAGTATTTAGAACAGGGATATAAAAGAATATGTGCATATATGTGTATATATATATATATATGCACATATATGTTCATGAAGGGGCAACATAGGGATGCAGGTGAGTAATGAAAGAGGCAGGGAATATGACTGTGAGAGTTGCTTACCAATCCATAGCTGTTTAAGTAGACAGTAAAGTTGTGTGCTTTGCACAACTATCTGACTAGTGTCTATCTCTGCATAAGCAGGGAAATAGAAATGGACTATTAGGTCTACTTTGTTTTCTTAAGTGAAAGCAGGTCCATGCCCAAACAGAAAGTTGGAGGCCATAATATGCAACTGGATATATATATATATATATATGCAAATACTCTTTTTCATTTTTAAATAATATTGAGTTTAGATTCTCTAAAGTCAAGGCACATTGTAATTATCTTGCCACAATAAAGAAACCTTTCTATTGTATTTCCTTAATTTTAAACAAAAAGCCAAAACCAAAAACCCCAAAGAATGAAATCAAATTCTCGTACTGCACATTTCATTTATGCCGCTTTTAAATGCCACTTATATTGCTATTATAATAATTCAAACTCATCCATGCGATTCAAAATACAGAAGTATTTTTATTTCTGTTGCCAGTAGACTATAAAAGAGGATTTCTCTAACCTTTGACAGTTCTGGCAAATACAGCTTTTTCTCACCTATTTATATTTTGATTAGTTCATTATCAGGACATTTAATATCTGTAGATTTTTCTCTTTAAGGTTTTACTCCTAGATGAAAAATGTGCACACTTTGCTTTTTAGAAAAGAGGAAAAAATGAGGGCTTTATGATACGTGATAAAATGCATAATATGAGAAATAGTCTGATTTTAATCTGTCTCATTTGGCATTGCTTTTTAGCTGTTGGTACAGGATTTGCATAGAGGTGACATCACAGTAGCAGCATTCAATGATCTTTCTAATAAACTACTTCGAGAGTATCGTGATGATGACTCAAGGAAGGTGAAGGAAACCACTGACCAAATGAACACTTGCTGGGTTAATTTGAACCAAAGGTAACTACAAGATTTCACTTTATATGCAGCAGCTTGTGCCTTAAACTTGCATTCTCTGTATGCATGTGTATTTTAGTCTCTTCTCTGTGTGCTTTAGTGCAGCATTTGGTGCTGCTGGGGATAATTAGTCAATTGCAGTCAAGCTCTTTTGATGATTGAAATTCCCACAGTTCACAATGGAAAGCTTCTGTATGACTTCCCATTTATGCTGTGTGTTTTTAAGCAGAAAAAAAAGGAACTTATGTTTGGTTTCAGGTTTTCCTGTGGCTGTTATTCTCCAAGTGTCTTTGAAAGTTCCTCTCTTACTCTTTATTGCTGGTACGATTTATGTATTGGTAGTTTGTTATTGCCCTTCCTTTTCGTAAGGCTGTAAGTGTTCAGCTTCATCTTCCCATGCATTAATTCCTTATGGCCTTTCATCTAATGGAAACTTCCTCTGAATGGGGCTGTGCTTTGGGTTCTTGAGTGCAATCCTTCCAGTACGCCCATCTAGAAAATACTTGTGCTGTAGGAACTGAGACTTAATTGACACTTCTTTCTCTTCATCCTCTATTAAGATGTATCTGCAGATATGTCTCAAGGAAAATGTGGTATTTTCCTATGCATTTTTTTTTTCCTGCAGGATAATCTAATTTCTGCAGAAATTCTTTTGAGTATTTGTTATTGATAGACAATTAACATTTAGAGTAGTGTCTGACTCTGAAATCTTAAAGTCTATATGTATTGTGGTTAGAGGGAGAGAAGAAAAAATTGGTCCTCTTTATGTGGGAGTGGGGAAGATGGCAACTAAAGTCTATATGTATACATGTGCATGTAAAAGCAGCTGCTTTTGGAATGGGATGTCAGTTAAAGGAATGAAAAGCCTACTTAGTAAAGCTTAAGGAGATGTTTTCTCTTGAGGAGTGATTGGAGGAGACCATTATAGAAACTGTAAAATTAGAGAACAGTTTGAATTAGAAGGGGCCTTAAACATCATACAGTTCCAACTCCCTGCCATGGGCAGACCACAGTCCACTAGATCAGATTGCTCAAATCCCCATTCAGTCTGACCTTGGGCACTTCCAGGGAAGGGGCATTCACAGCTTCTCCTGTTCCAGTGGCTCACCACCCTCACAATGAAGAATTTTTCCTGATAGCTAATCTAAATATGCCCTCTTTCAGTTTAGAGCCATTATTCTTGTCCTGTCCTTATGTGCCCTTGCAAAAAGTCCCTCTCCATGTTTCATGTAGACCCCCTTCAGGCTCTCCAGGGCTACTATAAAGTCCCCTGGGAGCCTTTGCTTCTCCAGGCTGAGCAACTCCAACTCTCTCAACCTTTCCTCATAAGAGAGGTGCTCCAGCCTTCAGAATATTTTAGGTTTTCCTCTGGGTCTGCTTCAACACGTCCACATCCTTCTTATGTTGGAGCCCCAGAGCTGGATGCAGCACTCCAGGTGGGATCTCACCAGAGTGTGGCAGAGGTGCAGAATCCCCTCCCTTGCCCTGCTGCCCACACTGCTTTGGATGCAGCCCAGAAGACGATTGGCTTTCCGGGCTGCAAGCACACATTACTGGGTCATGTCCAGCCTCCTACCCAGCAGCACCCCCAAGTCCTTCTCAGCAGGACTATTCTCAGTAAGCAGGTAATGAAGGAAGCAGAATGTCATCCTATCCTTGCTTGGAGGAAAATCTTTCTTCTGTCATTTTGTGCTTTGGATGTGGCAGCTTGTTTCCTAGTTAATTAGAGGATGAAGGGAAGCAGCTCCTTGTTGGATTAGCATTGACAGTAGACTAAAACTCTGATTAGTCTCCTTCACATTCAGACTTTGCAGTGTTATGGTTAGAACTGGCATAAAACTGCCCACTACTCAGAGAAGGTGACCAGAAAGAAGAGCTCCTGCCTGGAAGCCTCTAATTACTTTTGAATCTGCTTAAAGTCTAAAATAATAAGCTACTGCATTTTGTTGTGAAGCTCCTTAATTATCACTGGGGCTACTGTTTGAAGTCTGCAGCCTAAGGAAGGTGAATATCTGCTTTGTTTATTAACTAGTGGCAGAATGTAAAGGACAGCTCTGAGAGCCAGTGTGGAGCTGCTCAGTGTTACCCCATCTGAGCAGCACAGTAGAATTAAAAGGGGAGAATGTGCAGTGAAAGCACCTTTTCAACAGGGTGAAGATTTTATACTTGCTTTAAATGCAATAAATAGACATACCAGTGATGAGGCTTACTTTTTGTGACAGATGTTGGGACATGTGGGACTTACACATAGAGTGGACATGTAGCCCTATGGCTTCTATAAAAATAAATCTGCATTTATAGCATAATGCTTTAAAATACCAGTTCATTCCCCTACTTGAAAGTTGTGGAAAGGGTCCTTCATAACATCACCTGGAAGGATTGTGGTTCTGGTCACCATAAGAACACTACCAGGAAGAGTATAGCCATGGCATGTAAAGTGAAGGAGCTTATTTTAAAACTGTTGGCATGAAGAGATTGAAGCTCCCCAGCTTGACATTGTGTAAATGGGTTATTTTGCCCAGTGGTTATTTATGTTCTATTTTTATACTTTAGGGTGAAACCATAGTTGTTCTATGTGTTTGTGCTGCCTTGGTAATGGCTTATACTTTCTTTCTGTACCGTCTCAGATGTTAGTTTCTGAATTTCTTTTGATCACACACATGTCTGCATTGCAGATTTTTAGTATAAATCTGAAAAAATAATTGGGTGGAACAGAAACCTGAAACAGAGCTGTGAAAAATAATAGAATAACATTTTTTTTTCTTGGGTGTGTGTTTGCCAATAGAATCTTCACAAACTTTCTCCGCTATCACTGTATTAGGTTAGCTGTATTTGAAAATAATTCTCCAGCTTCTCACATTTGGTTCTTGCAGCCTGGAAGATATATAGATCGTCTGTCTTTTGAGGCTGCTCTAATTGTGTCAGAATTATTTGAAAATCTGAGTTATGTTTTTATAGCATAGGGTAGTTTTTAATCTGTAGTACAGAATTCTCCTTTTTTCTGTTTTCTATTTGATGTTTGAGGTCTTTACTAGCAGAGGAGGAAAGTATTTCCATTTGCTCTCCAAAAGTTTTGCTCACTACTGCTTGCTATACATGCCCTTTTTAAAACCACCCATGTAATCTTAGGACATTAGTTGTAAATTTGTATGTATTTAGTGGCAGGATTGTTTTTCAGCTTTAATTCAAATATATGGCAACAGTGGGTTGGTAATAGGATTTCATTCTTTCCTTAAAGCTCAACCAAGCAAAAATCTTGAGAAATTAAAACTTTAGGATGAAGAAAATATTCTTCAATGAATATTGTTAACTTGAAAGTTCAGGTTGTCTTGATTCCTATCTAATACATCAGTACTTAGACTTAGAGATCTGGGTCACTTAGTGTTTCATCCTTTGGGGCTGTTCTTTTCTTTTGAAGGTCACCTTTATTACCAGTTTGTTCTTCCTGCTGTCACTCCTGTTCTTCCACCTTTGGCCTTAACCCCCTGCTGGGAAAGAAAATCCCTGCAGAGGGAGAGGGTTTTGAAGTTAGAGCTCATAACTGCTTTTACTTTACATTTTCCTCACAGTTCCTTGGTGTGCTCTAATTTTTTAGCTCGTGCTTATTATCTTTCCTGGACAGGATATATCAAACTACTTGTTATCCCTAGCATGCTATGTATTATTTTTTTTCTTCAGACTGGGTGAAGCATTCCAGCTGCAAGTGAGAAGCAAGAATCAAAGCTTCTTGCTCTCCTAGTCATTTGCTAGCTGCCAAAACTTGGGCAAGCACAAAGTCAGGAATGATTCTAAGACTCTTATTTTGGCTAAAGCAATTATTAGCAAGTGGTGTAAGACCAAAGCTTCTAAAATAGGGGTTGCAACATTATCTTTGTGCAAATTGTCCCTAAAAAGTTCAGTTGATTATGCTAAAACTTAGGAGTGTGAACCTGGCAGATTTGGGGTTGCATGAGATTTCCTCACAGTCCTTGAAAGAAAACAGCTTTTGCTTCCATGTGTCTCTTCTGATGTGCTAGTAAACCAGGCTACTTGCTTTGAAACGTCATCCTGAATGGTACTGAACACCCACTGCTTCTTTTCTAAAAGGAATATTTTAACTAGTTCTGAAATTCACAATTCCAAACATAGTTATTCCTTCATACTGCTGAGCAGTACATCCTGACAAGGAGGAAAGAAAGCTGAAGTAGATGGGAAGATGCAGAAGACACAAATTTGGGCCTGTTTGGAGAAATGTGGAAATACCAAATGCTGAGTGTTTTGGCCTTGTCTGTATTGAAATTAAATACCACTTTACCCCTAATATATTCTAATACAGCTAGTGCTTCATGTGAAAATAAATTTAACTTTCTACTTACTCAGCAGAAGCATTCTAGCTGCTAGCTCTGTTAGAGGTTTCTCAACAGTGTTCTGGTGTGGGACAGCTTGTTTCTTTTGTCCTGATTTTGGGAGAAGGAATTCTGCAGAATAAGAGCCTCAAATGGGTGAAATTTAGTTTGTCATGCTTTATTAATGTTGCTTATCAGAGCTTTTAAAATTGCTGACTATAATAGTTTCTCATCTGAGTTTCATTTCAATCACTAGAAGACAGTACTCTTATGCAGAGCCATAAGGTGATTTTTTTCCTAGGAAATTATTTGAAGTTGCTGATAACTTAATGTTTGGATTATATTGTTATTACATGAGAAAATCCTCTTCCGGACACAAACTTTAGTTTTTGCATCAGTTAGAAATCTTTTGGATGATTGAAAATTGGGACATATTCTGTCAGTCTTTTTTAAGTTTGTTGAGCATGGTTGACTGTTATGATGGCCGTGCATTATTCTGTTTGTTTGAGTGATTGTGTCAAAAGTCTTCTAGCAGAGAGAACCAGGTATCTGACTTTTCATCCCTTAGCACTTTAACTCTTAAGAATTTATGGCAGTGTTTCTGCTCACTGTAAAAGAGGAACAAAAATACCCCAAGCACTCAGTGCTTCTACTCCATATGTTTTTTGTTCATGGGGAAAAGCCCATTTTTCACACATGGCAATAACACTTCTACCATTTGGAGTAGCGTAAGTTGATGATGGCTCTAAAAGGAAAACCTAGGTTTTTAATTAATAACTGAATTTTTACTGCATGCCTTTTAAAAAAAGGTCTGTCAAATGTATAACCAGTTCAGGACATCTGTGGGTAGCTATGGACACACTAAAAACCGTTATATAAATTATGATAAAACAAGCTGTATCTCTGTTCTTACTAGAGATGCACTTCAGATTTCCTTTTAGTAGTTTCATTATGGTGTATATAATGCTGTATCTTATGGGGGAATATTCTGACACTTGTCTTGTTTCCAGAGCTGTCGATAGGCAGAATTTCTTGGAGATGGAGATGAGGACAGTACAGGCCTCACACAAGGATCTGGAGAGCTTCCTCAAGTGGCTTCAAGAGGCAGAGACAACAGTAAATGTTCTGGCAGATGCATCCGAGCGTGAGAACACTGCTCAGGACAGCGTCTACATAAGGGAACTCAGAAAGCAAATGCAGGTGAGATGCTAAATAATATTGCTGTTATTCAGGTTTTCTCTCAATGGCAAATGTTATAAAGAAAAGCTATCTACTTGCTTGGGAAAGGCTGCAGCCTATTGAAAGGTGTTTCCTAAAACAGTGTTTTAGAAGTCAGGTGTATGAAAGAGGCAGATTTGTCTTCCTAAGGTTTGAAGCACATATTTTTGTGTGTGTCTTTGGCACTGAGGGCTCTTAAATGTCCTTGGAGGGTGACTGCATTCAGGAAGTGTACGCTTCATTAAACCAAGTCATGTTGTGTGATTGTTCAACCAAACAATTTAATCTACTTCCCTCCAAGTAAAGCCCTCCTGGGCTGCACTCTCTCCTATTTCTGTCTGCCACCTTCCTCCTGCTTTTTCAACAATCCAAGTAGTTGTGCTTGGATTACCTCTTCTCCCTTTCCTACTGCCCAGCAGCTCCCCAGCTGGCCTTCTTTCTTGTTCAGACCCCAGACTGGAAACCTTAGAAATGACTGAGGAGTTTAACTGACACCACTTATCAAATCCTGCACTCTGTGTTTGGATTAATGTCACCTGTGATCTAAGTGGGTTTGAGCAGCTTATAATGAAAAAAGCTGTTGCTTTTAGTAGTGCTCTTAATCTGAACATATCTACGCTGAATTGAAATGAAACAAGACTGTTAAAAATATCTGATAGCAAGTTATTCTTGCTAATCATAGTAAGAGCACAGTATTTTTTGGAAGCTTGTATCTGTTGAAGATGGCATGTCACTCACCAATGTTCAAATGATTCTAGTCAGTGAGGTAACTCATCTGTAGAGATGTGGCTTTTTGTGAATTGCTGAGACTAGTCTGTAGTGGTGACACCTAGAGCTTAATGTTATGCTTTCTACTGGTGCCACTTCCAACTGCTGTAATATAGTGGAGGTGGAAGAGCTAAAACAGGGCACAGGCAACCAACAACAGAAGGCAGTGCTATGTGTAAATAGACTTATTTCTGCATTACCTTGTGTTCTGTGGAGTCAATCACACCAAGACACAGCTGTTATTTCAGTTTGTTGTCTCTGTGTGGCTGTGAAGCACTGTGTGTGTGAAAGGTTGTTTGCCATTCTGTGTTGTGCTGCAATCTGATTAAAATTGCCTGAGTTGTGCTGCGTGAGGGGAGAACTGTTGGGCAAGACTGCTGTGAGAGAAGAAGGTCTATAACCAGCTCCTGACTTTCCATGTTGTCCTGGCTTGTCACAACTGAAAGGGCAGGTGGAGGTGCTGGGGCATGACCTCCTCTGGTTCAGCATCCTGGTACCTGATATTGTCCATATCTTTGAGCCTGTGTGTTTCCACGCACCGTGCATATGAAATATTATCACTTAACTCACCCACAACCTTACATAACATTGTAAGCCTTTTCTGGCTACCCTAGGAAGTGGAGCATGTCAAAGACTGTCATAGCATAATGACTTCCAGAATGGACTTTGTTCCCTACCATTTTACAGTCTTTAAATGTAAATGAAGACATTCATATCATGACTCTGGCAAACACTCCAAAATCACTGATTATGTTTTCAATTATTTATTGCACTTCTGAAAACAAAATGAAGCTCTACATCTTGCTGCACCTCAAAGGATCAAGCCCACTCTCTTGCAAGTTCTTAAGCTTATTATCTGATTAAAAAAAGATAATTTCCTGTTTTTCTTCCATTATGTGGTGTAAAATGACAGTGTTGTTCTCTTGGTGCCTTGTTGAATATGTAAAGAAGTATTGGTTTTAAGGTTAGTGTTTAAATGGTTTTAAGAAGAATGCAGGGATTATAACCACCTCTGTTCTGTGTGAAGATGCCCCTGCTCCCAAGGCCTGTGCATTAAGTAAAACTTTTCTATGATTTCAAGGTGTGATAAATTCTAGGTGAAATGAGCTGAACCTAGACAAAATGTGGTGAATTTGTTGTTGTTGCTGCTGTTACATGTCATGCATTTTCAAAATAGGATCATCTGTTAAACTGGCACCTGTGCATGCATGGGAGGACTGTCCTCCATTACATTTTGGGCCTGGCTTGTTTGGCTGCAGCTCAAGTCACTCTCCAGTGGAATCAATGATCTGAGCCCTGAAGCCTTGTTTTGCCTTTCATTGTGATACCTGAGGCCAGCAACAGTACTATGCAATAATGCAGACTTTGAGTGTGGTTGAAATGTCTTTTTGAAAAGGAGAAATCCACAATTATGTCATCAGTCAGTTCAATTTATTCTCTCAGTATCTAAACCTTGTAGAAGTTTTTCCATTCATGTTAGTGCCAAAATGCTAGAGTCTATTTTTGAAAATATTTAGCAGTGACTTGGAAGAGACTAAAAGCTAATTTGAAAAAAGATGCAGAAAATAAGCTAGGAAATAGTAAGAAGTAGTGCAAGGTATGTGAAGTCCTGGGCCTACAGGTGTGAAAGTGTTCAAAATAATTCAAAGATTTTGTTGTATTGTAGAAAAAGTTACCAAAAATGGCTGGCCATTTGTCTCACTGCTTGATTCAGACTTGTAGATTGAAAGATTTAGGAAGATAACAAGCAGAAGTAAGGAAGTAGAAGGAAGTAAGGAAGGTGTGGACTGTGGGGTCTCTCTTGCAGGGAAGAGATTTGAGCTTTTGCACAGTCATTTCTCAGTGCGTCCGTGGTTTCAGAGTTCTGCTGTTTCACAGGTTTCCTTAAAAGATATTTGGTAAGAGCATGTCAGCTAATCACAGTAGACTCAATCTGGAATGTTAAAGAAGCAGACTTCTGGTGAGAAGGGATGTAAGCCAGGAGCAGTGGCATTCAGAAGAACAGTTCAAATACGTCATGAGAATGAGAAAAGACAGCGTGTCTGGCAAGGTGAATACAGACGGTGAGATTTCTATGTATAGAGTGGAATCTGTATATCTGTTTCTCTGTTCAAAATGATGTTATTGTTGCGGACACATCAAGAAGAAAACAGAGTACAAGGAAATGGGGTTTATATGAAGAGTGGTAGAAATGTTGATTCAGTCCTAAAAATAAAGAAGAAATGGTTGTCTTCACAGAATTGGATGGGAAGACTTTTTAAATGTCCTGTGTGAAGAACCTGAACCTTGCATTTATCTCCTTTGTAGGAAAGTGCCCTAGAAGAGTCAATGCAGTGTATAATGCATTGACATCTAAGCTGTGCATTATTTTGGATCATATGAACTTGTCAGGATGGCTGTTGCCTGCATACTGTGCTGATTGATGTGCTTGAAATATGTAGGGACCTTTTCATGTGGAAATAGGCACATTAAATCTTATGATCAGTGCTTCACCTACTGTGTTCAGGCCTCCCTGAACCTCGGCTACAGCAGCGCCTCTGATACAGGTTTAAGTAGATTCATCACAGCACCTTTGGAAGCAATGAGTAGCTGGCTCTGGTTGTGCTGCGGTATTGCCACACCTAGGGGTATGTTGGCTGTATTGCATTGGGAGTGCCTTGCTGGTAGCAAACCACTTCCATGCTCTTGAACATCCTTCTATCATCCTTAGATGGCTTAAATAATTCTGCTTTGTCATGGGAAATACATAAAAATTGTTAGCTCTTTGGATTAAAGGATGACATAGAGAAGGGGTTGATGATGCAACTGTATGCTTTTACTTTGTTAAAACCCTACCTTTTTCTTGTCTAAAGTCATTCTGGAAAATATTTAATTGGAAATGGCTTGTGAAAAACATTCCTACTTTCTGGTGCAAGTGAGGATTCTTTAGATCCATTTTACTAAATTTGCTTTAAGAGAGTTTTTATAGAAAGAGGTTTACCCCCTTCAATTTTCCCTTTCCTGTCGGGTAATCTAGTTTTGAGAAACGCCTATGTGATTTATTAGCCTTTAATGTATGGCTGAAATAATTAGGGCAGGTATCCCTGTGCTCCTCTCTCAAGATTTATAACACAATCTGTTATTCACTCACTCTACAGCTCTGCCAGAGCTGCGTTCAGTCGGAGAACGAGAGCATCCTTTCCCAGAGTGAGGGAGCAAACACTCTGTCTGCTGATAGAAAGCAGCTACTAGGGAGGAACAACTGTTGTGATACACTGGAGCCGTCTTCCTGAAGGAATTCCTTTTTTGTTCCTGCAGCTTTCAGGCTTAAATTAATAACCTTTTTCTGGCTATTTAGTGCACTCTTGAACGGAGGCAGACGATCGGCTGCTCAACTTCATTTGCCCTCTGCAAAAGCAGAGCTGAGCAGTACTGATTAGAGGAATCTGTGAAGGCTGTTATCTTTTTGCATTTGTTTTGTGAGGTTATTTTGGGAGAAAAACTTATGCTGTATCAATCTTCTTTGCCTTTGAAACGTATAAAGCCTGTAGCTTGCAAAAGCAGTCCTGGAAGAGAGCATGCTCAGAAAGCTGGCAAATCATTGTCCAGTGACCGGGAGGAAATGATAGTTGCTCTTCATTTATAATGCAAATTCTGAGGTATCTTCAGAAGTGTGGCAAACTTAAAATGATGGCTGTGGTGAGAACCTCTCTTCAGAAAGTTGTGGTGTTGTTGCATCGTTTACAGAGGATGGCAGTTTCTTCTCCACGTTACCAGAAGCTTTGTAAGGTAGGAAATGTAAGCCCTAAATGTCGAGTGTGTGTATTGCTAACTCTGTTGTCTTTCTGAGCTGAAAAGAAAAAGTGAGCATGGGATGAGTGTCAAAATCATCTTGGTTATCTAGTGGTTTTAAGCCTATAATGCTTTTCATGTGTGTTTTGTTAAAGAATGCAATAAAGAAAAAAACAAAACAAAACAACGCTGTGCTTGCCAGAGTAATATATTTTTTTTTTTTTTTTTTTTTTAGAAAAGTGCTCTCTTGCCCACCATTTAGGTGTCTGGGAGGAAACTGTTATGTTCACTAATTTTTTTTTTTTGGTAAAATAGTATCAGCTCTTTTCCTAGGGAGTTAGTTACTTTTTGGTAAATGTGATTCTTTAACTCCTGTGTACCCATTATGTAGAATAACTGTTTTTCCATGCCCAGTTTTATTTTTCTTTTGAGCTTCATGAAGC